ATAGCTCTATATCGTAGGGTCGTTACACTACGACGCTCCCGCAGAGAGCTGTGTCAGCGGCGGGACCCATAGGCGCTACCCATGGTCCCTTACCCCCGGCACACCACTCACTGTGATAAGTGTCATGCTATTAGAGTCTTCAAACAACCCACAAAGAGCCTACGGCAAAGGGGCACGTGTAGGCTTGATTGGCGTAAAACCTTCCCAAATGTCTCCGGCACTACCCGGGACTACTCTGGGGACCCTTCCGGATAGCTCACGCTAACTCCGTCAGTTTTGGTCTGTTTTACTCCGTTCCTTTTGGAGAAGGTACTTGACCTTCTCACCTTGGCCCCCTTATATATCCTGCGAACAGCTTCCGGTCGGACGGACGGCGATGACGCATACAGTGTTATGGACATCTCTTTATAGATTCCATTTAACTAGCATAACGGCAACTCCACCCATTTTGGCCCATGACGCCCGGGGCGAACCCTGGGGCCGCAGGTACCTGTTAGGAATAACTCTACCAAGTTATAGCTTGTTCGGAGCACTATAGCTCCTTCCGTAGTCTTCTGATCAAAGTGCAATCTAATGCCCGTTGATCGTCATTGCATAACAAACAATCCTAACATTTCTCGGAATTCCTCCGAGAACATTTCCGACGGAAGGTAGGGTAATAGTGTCCCAAAGGTAGGGTAAGTATGTCCATGGTGACACGAAACCTGTCTCTATGGTAGGGTAACGTGACTTCCTTGGGTAGGGTAAACTCACCTGGCCTTCTGACCTATTCATAGGCCAGAGCGGACATTGTCACGTTATTACCACTACTTAGGTACACCTATTCCTTAAGTACCTTCTGTTCTTAGAGATTTCCGCACCATCAAATATCTCTTGGATATGCGCCTGCATATCCGCCTCGTCTACCATCCGACCTCTTGGTCTTATGTATGGGTGTAGACGTAGGTTACCATAGCTCTATATCGTAGGGTCATTACACGAGCTCAATCCCAGGACGCACGGGACGCACAGGAATGGGGAAAGAAAGCGCAGGCGCGTCAGGACGCAGCGCCCAGGCGTCAGACACAAGCGATTTTTTTGCTGATGTAGACATATAGGATGTACCAGAATTAAAATCCTTCCTGCTTGCGTCTGGATGCACTGCCTATGCATCTGATGTAGGAATAATTTTTGCTGATGTTAGAGACTGTCAGATATCAACAACCTAGTATATAGGATGCACATAGTTAAATTTTACTTAAAATGAATCAGGTAAAAAGATTATATAGAATTTCTTTTAGAATGTTGGTCTTGCACTTCCTATCAATGATTTACTAGACTCCAAGCTAAATATTAAAGAATTTACTGTGGAGGAGATAGAAATTGAGGACTGGTGACAAGATATTGTAGAAGAAGATACTATTAATATTCAGGATACTGTAGATGAAACTGAGGATGAAAATACTCTTGTAGATTTTATTTCTAATTCTAAATAGGAATATTTTTACACTTACAACAAACTGTAAATTTATATGCAGGATTGGTCCCTTCAGGAATCTTGGCACCCATTAGTGCCTAAATTCTCCATCCTGCATAGCTAGTTTGGCGAGTTTTTGCAGTACTCTCTGTAAATTAGTCTAGATGACATGCAGGTATTCTATGCTCAGGCCATAATATTATCTTCACAAGCCCAAATCAGAGATACATCTGCCAAAAGAAAACCCCCGGTATAAGTAAAAACCAGATCACTCCCGCCCAATTCACTGGCCCCTGGCCTGTTAACGCCTCTTTTTTGAAGGACCCCCGAGACCAACTCTATAAACCCCCCAAATATACCCCAGCCTAACAACACCCAGATCCCAGGCCATACGGATAGAGTCCTGGACCAGCCGCATTTTCGTGCCGGTAACTTCGTGCCATGTGATCGGGACCTCCACCACAGGAACACTCAAGTAGCCCGCCAGCAGTAAGATCTCTATATCAAAGATCCACCCCTCGGTGTGCATGAATGGGAATATGTCCCTGATCGCGGCTCTAGAGAAGAGTTTGAACCCGCATTGTGTATCATGGATATGTCTGATGCCGAAGGTCTTGAGGAGCGTATGGAACGAGTGCATGAGAAAGTTACGGATGAATGAGCGCTGGTGATTGAGAGTTAGGGTTGTTCTCTACTATTAACTTTAATCGGATGAAATAGGAGGATTTACCTTTACAACGGCGTCTGTAGTGACCATGTGGGCTCTGCTGCCGACTGCAATGCCAAAGCCGTCGTCTTCCACACTGCGTAGTTCCTGCAGCAGGGACTTTACGTCGCTGAACTTACTGGCACCATCGGCGTCCGCAAACACAGCGTATTCCCCACGAACATGTCGCATTCCATGGGCTACAGCACCACCTTTTCCGCGGTTCTTCTCGAGCACGCATACCCGGATGTCGCCTTCCTTGATATCTCTAAGGTGAATTTGCGAGCGGGCCCAGTTGAGAGCGACACCGGCGGTGGAGTCGGTGGAGCCATCGTCTACAATGAGGATTTCCCAACCGGTGGTGGCACCGGTACCGTTTGCATTCCCGTTGATCTCCTTCTTGTTCGGGCCATATTCGTCATGAAGGAAGGTCACGGCTTCAGCGAGCATATCCGGCAATCGCTCTGATTCATTGTACGCGGGAACCACTACCGAGAGCGCAACCTCTGCTTTCCCACTCGAATACGTATCCGGTAAGGGAAGTGCTGGTGTGGTTTTCCCGTCCTTGGTGATGGTCTGGTAAGTTCTTTCTGAGTCTGTCTCGCGACGGGGCGTATGAGCGACAAGTAGGATGAGGATGTAAGACTATACATATCCAGGAGCTCAATCAGCCACCCTAAAACACTGATCTTCCACCCCAAGGAATGAATTAGGCTATCTCACAGCTAAGACCCCCAACCCAATGAGCCCCAGAAACCCGCAGAGAACGACGGCAACAGAGGCATTCTGCAGGCAGGATATCAGCAGACCGAATGGCAAGTCTTCGCCCATTACGGGCGAGTTTGGTATTCCGGGAACTTTGCTAGCGACGTCGTGGCTCGCAGCACAGGAGACGTCGGAAGGAGGGAACGAGGACGGTCAGGGGCGGAGGTAGGGTGATAGAGGAGGTGGATAGGGAGAGGGTTGTAACTTGAGGGTTTCGAGAATAAGGGAGGTGTTCACTTTCCCAGTAGAGCCTCACTGACAGGGGCATCCGGATCTCGTGCAAGCAAGGTTACCCGGCCGTGGAGTACGGTACTGTACGGTGCCCCTACCGTAGTTGTGTCTCTTTGGTGGTGTTTTCTTTTTTTGTGAAAACGATCACTTCCACTCTTATGTTGTGCAGGAATAGCATAGCTGCTTTTAGTCTGGGAAGAAAGGCCGTGAATATACATGTTCTAAAACGGTATTATGCATCAGGCATTGTACCGGTACTCGAGTGCGACCTAAGTCACGGAGAGGCTTGTACGAGTAACATGGGTGCCAAGCCTTCGCTTCAGTAAATTTGGCTCCTTGCCCTTGCATACGGTACCATCTCCCTCCACAATGGCGGGCATCCGTTGACTGTTACGGTAGTCTACGATTGCTGGCGATGCGGCATAATACTGATAGCGGGCTGATTGAGAGCGTGGGGAGCTCGGCTTGCGGGTTTCTGGGTGCCGGTACAGCATTCCGAGGTTGTCTTTTTCTTTCTCTGTTTTCTCTGGTGGGGGACTTTGGAATCGGCTGCCTTGTGGTACCGGCACCGCCGTAAGATGATCCGGTAAGTGGTGTGCTGGCTGGTGCAGCGAGTGCGCATGTATCATATAGTACGGTAATGAGAATGCCAGTACCGGTACCCGTATCGCACTCGTAGACATCCCCCAGAGTCTCGGACCCAAACTCGTTAATTACGAGTAGTACGATGGGCAATGCAGGTACGGTCCGCTTGACTGGGTGGCCGACTGGTTTCTTCTCTCTCGGCCCTAGTTATGCTCACACTTGTCGTAAACTATTGGCTGGCCCTCGGGGCGTGTCAGGGCGCATCACGGAAAAATAAAGTTCCGGCGGTTGGCTAGGCAACGCCGCTAAACAAACACTAACACCTTTTCCTACCCAACACTGCCCCTAAGCTATCTCGACAACACGTACAAGTATCTCTGGTATCTGATCTCTTTTCTTCACCTCAGTAGTTCTCGGTGCTATACTTGGAAGGAAAGCAGAAATGGTCGGCCGGCTGCCACTCAGACTTGGTGTGGCAATAAGTAAGTTCTCGTATATTTTTCCCCGTGATTTCTTTTGCCGTCGAGCTGATGACGTTTGCACGACCAGTATTCTTTTTCTCCTTTCTACTCTTTATTTCCGGATGGATTCTCCAGCAGAGATCCCTCGGTGCTCTTCAGGCAGCCATGAGTCAGCCGGTACCTACTCCATATGTGGTGGCATCGTCGAAGCACAGGCCAAAACCACCGTTTCAATTAATTGACCAGACTAATAATATCCCGGTGCTGAGGTCGAAAAAGAACCTGAAGGCTGCACATTTCCAGTTCGTGCAGAAGAAGGAAGATGTGTGTCATAGTTTGATGGTGTTGGCGGAGTTGGCAAGGCTGGGGACTGAGGCGGACAGGATACTGCTGTATCCGGAGAGCTGGATCGGGAGTGAGGAAGGGACATGGAGTCGGCTACTGAAGGCTGCGGAGAAGAGGTTCGAAGTTAGAGTCAGAGCTGTAGGTGGTTTGGGTGGCGAGGCTCGTGAGTTTCCTCCCTCCTTCATATCTCCGAAAAAAGAGAAGGTAAAAAGGGGTTCCGTAATGACGAAAAACAGCAGGCGGTGGAGGCCCCTCCCTCCTCCACGCCTTCGCAGAAACCAAGTATGACCGGATCCTCTACCTTGAGCCTCTAGGCCTTCCTCTCCGGAACCTCGACCACCTCCTCTACGGCACCCTCACCGCCCCCATTATTGGCACAAGGTCTTACTGGCTTCCCCAAGCGGTCAAGAAACTCGGCCCACTCTCTGGACAAGTGCTTCTCCTAACCCCCTCCACCCGCCTATTCAATCAAGTCAAAAAGGTCCAGCTAGAAAACCCGGAAGACGACCCTGTGTCCGTTATAAACGACCTCTTCTCCTCCCGCAGCTTAATACTCCCTCAGCACCCCTACGCAACAAACGTCTTCGAATTCAGGGCAGTTGATCACAGCAAATACACCTTGAATGACTGGGACCCTGTAAAGGTTAGTGAGGAGAGTTATTACGTCAGCTTCATGGACGAGAGTGCACCAATGCCCTGGTTCACCTGGCCCCAGGCAGTGACGGATAAAGTCAGGCCAAAGGTGCCTGACAATGCGATGGTCTGGAAGGCGTTGTATGACCGCTGGGCACGTGTTAGAATGAATGTTTGTGGGCTGGATCTTGAATACCTGAGGCAGAATTAGGACGTGCATAAAAGCGGAAAAGTTTGTCAAGTTTGGGTTGTGTCTTTGCTTTTTTTTGCTTTTTTTGTGTATCGCAATTGTTTGAGCGTGCATCGTACTGGTGGGGAATTATTACTGGACGGCGTTGTTTGCGAGGTTGATGAGGGTTCCTTTCGGGTTCTTTTTTTTCAAATTGTTTTATGTTTCGAGAGCTCTACTCGTGGTGTGGGAAGGCAGGCTTATGGTTGGTACTGTTGGGGGTGTTTTTTTTCGAGGCTTATGGGGAAAGAGCAACTTAATATACATTACGCTTGGCATCCTCTGTCCGCCTCATAAAAGTTGTCCGCGCACTTTGGTCGTGATGTGTGCCGTGGCCGATTACGGGCCCGGCAGCATCTTGATACATGGTACTCGTACTTCATCATATACGATACGCATACCATAATAGAGGCTAGAATATTTTACACCAGATGTTATTTTATTTTATTTTATTCTTGTTCTGTTGGGGGTATAGCTGTCATACTTGGTATCATATCCATAAATTTATCGGTCGTACTTGGTAATTCATAAAACATCCGGATGCCTTGAGGCCAAGACAAGCCTGGACATCACGTCCCCAAGAGATCTGGATACTTTACGAATTGTCAGGTATCGTAGTAGCAAAAAGAGGTGTCAGCCTGGCCAAATTAGCACACGTTTTTCCTTCAAATTTCTCATGCCTTTTCGCCCCGCAAGATATCATACTGATAAGCGAAACAATGGTTTGAATTGAGTTAGGGATTAAGGTGCTGGTAGGCGGTTCGAGAGTATTTTTGTGGAAGAGTGATAAAATCCGAGCCTGTGCACTGTGTGATTTGATCGTATACTATCGATAGTACGTATTATCATCGAATGATGGCAGCCTTCTTGCGCTCTTCTTGTTCCAGCCCGTCAGAAACTAGATACCAGCATCCCAGGACCCAACGCTCTGATGCTTCAGCTTTCCTCTCCCCCCCGGCTGTGGGCCTTTCCTGCTTGTCTCTGCGGGTATGACTGGAGAAAGAGGTTGGCTGGTTGGTAGTAAAGTTGGGCATAGGCGGGTAATTACTGTGTGGGCTATAAGACACTTGGGGGGGGGGGTTTGGTCACGAGTGATGAGAGGTTATCATTCGGTCTTTTGCTGCTGTTAGACTATATTTACCAGTTGATAGCAGCCAAATGTCGGTAAAAAGGCGTAGGTATGGAGGGATTTACGGATGCGATAAAGAACTGGGAAGCTTATGGGGGAAGATGATGAAATCCTGGAGTAGGACGACGATAGCGGAGCTGTTGGCGATGCTGTTGGACCAATGGGGGTTGAAGAGTGATACCGGTAGTCCAAGGCTGATCGCGGATGTCGAGTGAAGCTATGCAAGGGGATGCTATTTCTAAGCCTTAAGTGTATTATTCAAGATCATATGTCGTACGGTGGCAGTATATACCTATTAGCACTGACGGAGTGGAACTCGCACCAGCATGGACCACTCCACCTGGAATTTGTACTATATAAATAAAACGCAAAGGCAGCAGTCTGTCCGGGATAAATCCCGGGTAGCGTACCGGTAGTATGAGCATCACAAAAAATTCATTTTTTTAGGTTCGTAGGTGGGGCTGCCATTAGTGGTATTCCGTACCCCGTTGGCCGCTGGGCGGGAAGAGGTTAGGTATGTTTTGAGTATATCGTACCCTGATTTTTGGTATATTTCCTTACTAAGGCTACGGGGGAAGGCGGCGAGCACATGAGAGGAGGAGAGAAGGTGCGCTCATGTTTTCCCTAAAACATTGAAGGCACCTTTAACAAAGTGCCGGTAGTTTGCTTAGCGGTTGGTTTGATAGTGGGCGAGGCCAGATTCCAGGAAATGAGTGGAATTTCGTTTCTTTTTTTTTGTCGGCCGGCAAAGCTTCCTTCCCTTCCCCCGTGATAGATTCAGGAATACTTGTTCTCGGGGCTGGCCCATTCTCAATTTCCTATCTGCCTGCCACCGAAGCTGTAAAGGCGACAGGCGGATACATAGAAAGTTGAGCCTACACTAGCCAGTGAGGACGCCTGTGAGACTGAATCAGGTGTTTTTTTAATGTTACCATGGAGGGCTGAGTGTGCTAAAGCATGGCAGTCCCCAAGCCTTCGGAAGTTTTCTTGAGTGTGGAGACTTTATCCGGGTGAACCCGAGATACAGTCTATTCCAGCGTACAAACACCCGCACGGAGGATGGGCTCCACAAACAAATCTCGATCGATCAGGCTGCAAAGACTTGCCAATCCTCACGACGTTGTAGCAAACGGTCCCGCCAGAGAGGGAAATAGCGGGCAGTATCGAAAGCACGCTATCCGGACTGTAATATTCGCTCGGTATGTATTTCTCGGCATAGACGATTTCTGAGGCCAGGGTAAATAACTTTAACCTAGGGTAACTTCTAGCGTTCAAACATAACCTGAGATGAAGAATGGTGTACTCGAGTACCGGTATTCGAGTATCGGGGAGGTGCCGGGCGGGTATTCGCGGTCGAAACTTCCTGGAGTCCAGAGGCTAATAAGACCGCGTATCGACGGGAAAGAGTAAAACATGACGTTCACGTCTGCCGGAGCCTGAGGTGAAAGGACGGATGGCATAGCGGTACGATATAAGTTAAGCATCAAGTGTTTGTTTCCCCTCTTTGCTGTGGTTTCTATTCCCGGATGCCGTATTTCGGGACACAATGCCTGTAGTGTGGTATTTGTGGATAATGTCATTGGGATGGGTGCTTGTGCTGAGAATGCACTGTACGAGTACGAGTAGTGCCGCCGTCACTCGTCCGCGATGCGGTGCTCGTACAGTCGCCAGGCTGGGATCGGCAGGTGCCGTGATCATATTAGGGGAACTCAGGCTTAGAAACAAAGCCCGGACGGAACTGCCGTACCGTTTTAGCAGTCCAGTGTAAGTGCGGTGCGGTCTGTGCAGTACTCCGGTTTGCGATGGAGTCCGCGTGATGGAATTGGGAGAGGGGGTACGGGTGGTGTGTGGGCTGGCTGATTGACTAAAACACATACAGATTAGCAGTGTGGGGATAAACCACTTCAAACTGCTCTACCGGTACTCGGGTACTCGAGTAAGGGTGACAGCAAATAGCCCAATGCTTGCGTCCGGGTGGTCGGAGATTCACAGCCACAGTTCTCAGGAACTTAGCCCAGCTACCGTGCTGAGTAGCATGCGAGCCAGCATCATAGTGCGTTAGGCTGGCTGCTGGTGCATAGCATCGAAACCCGCCTCAGAAACGATTCCAGCAGTGTTCTTATTATATGCGTGACTCGTAGCGGGCTCTGGAGGGAGGGGCAGAGCATTCCAGAAAGATCACAAATGCGTTATGCCGGAATAGTATTGATACGACTGCTTGGCGGTGGAGGGGTTGAGAGGTTTGTCTGGATCGGCGTTAGGTGGGAAAAAGGGGCAATCGTCATTTCCACTGGGGAATGGGCGTCGGTTGGTAAGAAACAGACTTCGGGGCTGGTATGGCGGAAAAGAACGCTGAAAGAGGGACTCGATAGGGTTGCTGATTACCTCTGAGAATTTCGGAATCCCATCTGATGGGGTAGGGTACTTCCTGCCATGCCTCTTTTTATCATACAATTGTTCTTCTAATCGTATGCTTGGGTATTGTTTTTTTTTGCGATTCCCTTGGGAGGAATCAAGCCGTCAGCTCCTGTCTATGGAAAATCGAACGACATTTCTTTTTTCGAGTGGTGCTCTATAAAAACATTCCTAGACCCATCTCTGACCCACGGTGTGATAGCTCCCTCAAGCCTGTCGACCACGATTCTACCTACGCCATGGTAACATCAGGATAATTGCGGCACATATGGCGGTTTTTCCTGACCCAGCATCTTGCCCCTCAGTAAACTGCAGTATATAAACATTGACTCTCCCAATGAAGGCCTTCTCTTGAAAGCCAACCGGGTCGAAAACGAAAACGATCAAGCATGACATTGCGGCAGATAATATTTTGCGTGGTCCTCGTGGCTGTTGCTACTGTCTGCTCGTTTCCCGTTCAACAGCCCGATGAAACCCAGCATGTTCCCATGTGGCCTGGAATTGAGGGTCTGGGGTTCGCATATTTCAAACGACAAGGTATGATCTTCTGCGAATTCTGCTGAGTGATAAGCTCGCCTGATTGAAGTTGGATAGCTCAACCGAAGCCTCCCCCACGACTGGACCCGGCCTTGACGAAGACGAAGAGTGGCGAGCTGTGGCAACCGCTAAGGGTAAATGAGAAGCCGAAGACTGCGGACCCGTTACAGCGAGTGAGGCATAATGACGTGAATGAATATATCAATTAGGGAGGCTCAGGGTGGTGCGCCTGGGAGGATCCGTTATAGGGGATCCGGAACCCCTTTCGCTGCGGGGATGCTGTCTCTTTTAGTTTTCGGGTGTACGACACTTGTCCAGTTTGGGAGAAGGGGAAAAAAAAAAGTGGAATGAGGATTCTTATGCTACGCTCCCAGCTGTTTTCATGTTTGATCGAGGCGGGAAATCATTCTGCACCCCGCCGAGACAGGCTCCAGGCTCTTTACTAGTAGTGTGATGCAGTCTTTGTTTGTGTATGAAAAAGCCGATATTGCCTGGGCGGTCAGAATTCACGACTAAAAATTCATCCTCGTAGAACGCCAGAGATTTTTTCGTTGTCATCTCTATTTCATAGTTAGCTATATCTCAGCATCTCCCCGCTTTTCTATCTTTGCAAGTCTCCTCTCCTCCTTCATCCTCTTTCGAGCGGCATTCCTGCTCTCTCCTTGCTTCTCCTCAGCATCTAGCCATGCCTGGTACGCCGTCGCACTAACGTCATCGAGGATGAACTTGCCCAAGACACCAGCTCTATACCGTTGCACAAGCCAGTATGCCGTAGCGTCAAAGTCGGGACTTCCCCCCTTCAAAAGTCTTCCCGTTGCCTTGGCTGTTGCGGTAAGGAGCTCCACTATGTCGTTTGTCGGAGGAGAGTAGCCGGAATACAATGAAGGGTCTCGGAGATTGAGATGGAATAGGAGGTAATCAGCCAAGGTCGTTGCATCCAGGAGGGAGTCCTTCACACAGCCTACCAGTGCTAGGGACAGCATAGTCTGTGGATTCGGCATGTATGGCACAAAAACACCTGCATAGGTTCGGAGAGTGATAAGAATACGAAGGATAAAGAAAGGGTGGGTGGGAATGAGACTGACCAGGTGAGTCCATTAGATACACCAATGGATAATCCAGTATCTTTACCGCCATCGAGATCTTCCTGGTTACTCCAGGCTGACCACCTGTTATGGCGGCTTTCTTTGTATTTCCTGTGCCCACTCGACGCATGGCATTCAGCAGGGTGGATTTGCCTACATTAGGCATTCCGACCACGAGCATCCTTGAACCAATCATGTTGTCAGCTGTTGCTGCTGTGCCTATAGTCTTCATGAGCTTTTTTGTTTCACTTTACCACTCACTACATGATGTGTCCTTCTGCTCGTACATTTTACCCTTGCCCTTGCATGGGAGAGAGCCGGGGGGAAGGGAGGGGGAGCTACCTCTGGCGTAGTCAATGATCTTCTGAACGTCCTTGCGATCTTTGCTATCTGAAAAAACGACTTGGTGGGGTCTGTGCCATTTCCTGATGGTCTCTTGTGTCTAGGTGTTAATGCCGCAGTCAGCCTTACGAACCCTAGCCCTCTAGGGATGGTTTATAGTAGTTTGAATGGCATCTACTGGAGCGGTGCATGGAGGAAGCAATGTAGACACGGTGGGTGGGGTTGGTGTAAATCATATCTCCCGTTATCGGGCCCAATCAACAATCCACCCAATGGCCGGGAAAATGGAGCGCCGAGAAATCGAGACATGCATATGCTGGGGGCAGGCAAGTGCAGGGAGCGGAAAAAAAATAGAATCACGTTAGGGGTAGGGGGGGGGGGGAATTCGTTGCGAACCTTGAGGTCCAACTCCTCAGCCGCCAAGTCTCTTTTGGTATAGACTATCAACCTTTCCTTCTCCCGCAAGGTTTCCTCGAACATTGGATTGCGGGACGATAGCGGGACTCGGTAATCGCGACACTCAATGATTAGTTCCACCGAAGATACAAGCTGCTTCATTTTCTCCAGCCCCGCGCGGTGATGACCGAGAAAATATGACGTGATGAGGCTCGAGGGATAGGGGAACTCTCTTCGAGGGACAAAAGATGAGTCCTGTGTGCTCGGGGGACCGGGGCTCGGCGCGGGCTTTGGCGGAATGGACAGGGGTCTAGCGGGCAGACGCACGCGAATGCCGAGTGATTGATGTGGACGCGCATAACGCCGTGCGTGAGGTATCATACCGGTACTTCGAGCAGGTAGGACCGCTGTCCCGCCCGTACAGTGAAGAATGCAACTGGATCCCTCCTCCACGGAAGGAACCCTGAATAGATAGAGATTGCAAAAAATCCGCTTGCTGCAGGGTCCTGTGTACCGATTGCCCGCAGTCTGGGAAAGCCCGAAGGCAGAATATCTTGATGTCGCTCGCGTGCCAAGCCTTTGCGGGAGACGCGTTCTCGATGTGGGATTTGATCAGAGTGCTCGAGTACTGGACTGGATGGTGGGGCTCAACAGGAGACTCTTGGTAGCAAGTGGCTGTTGGAACAGGTTCGGCTCGGGAACGCCAAAAGGGCGTCTGGACTTGCTGTTTTCTCCCGATATGTTTCCGGGGTGCTGTTACCTAAACTGGAATTTAAGACTTCAATTGGCCGGCCGGTACCGGTAGTCTAGTAAACGAGCACCCAGGAGAGGAGTGGGAGAAATTATCGAATGTTGTTGGTCTTGCTCTCTTTGCTCGTAAGAACTTGAACACATTTTTCCGCAACGCTGCCGCGGCTGCAGCAAAAAATTTGCCGCTGGAGTCGTTGTCTGCCTTGTGCCAAGACAGCGCACTATCCAGAGCTGGCAAGGATCGGACGGGTAATGCTCCATCACTTGCAGGGACTTCTCTGGAATGCACCTTTTTTTTTTGTTGAATCCTTTACTCGTTTCTCGAGACTGGGGATCTCGTGCGGATTGTATATAAGGTATTCGGTCCTGTTAGATCTTGTATCTCTCGTTCAGACCCTTCTTTTGGGCGCTCCTAAAGTTTGCAAAGACTCGAGAATCTTCAGTATTTGCTTTTGGCAATTGTTGCTTTTTCTTGGTGTCCTGGTATTGAGTACTGTGGCGACTTAGCAGGGGAACTGCTGCTCTAGGTCAAAGGGGGGTTTTTTTTTTCCTCTCCCACTGTAGAGTGGGGCTGTGCAGCAAGAGCTCATTCCTATAAAACTGACATTTCAACGGAAAGTTAATATGGCTGTGCTTCTAAACCCTTGATATTCAAGTCTCACTTCAAGATTGGGACTAGAATACTATAGTCGAGCTGCTCAGGTATGGGATTGAGGTCCGGCACACCGGAACCCCCCCCCCCTCCCGATCTTAAGCCGCGTTCTATGGTGGCAGGGATCATGTTTTCAAGTTTTTACTGATATCTGCGAGCGCAGCCTTATATCTTTGCTACATGTCGAACAGCATTTCTTCAAGCAATACCTTACTAGCCACACCTCCTGACCAACTGCATATAGATACCTCCCTAGGTTCCACTGCACCGAGTACCGGCCCGGGCATTATCCCTGTTGACCTTGAGAAGGCGCTTCATTCGCCCCAAGATACCATCACGGCGCAACCAGGATCTCGACGGGAAATATTTCACTTCCTTCGACCAACAGTTCCCGGGGCTGTGGCGCTATTCCGGGGTGACGGAGCCCTGGCCCCGTTTCGACTTCTCAAGTCAGATTTCGGGGGCAGGGCGAAGATATATCACACGGATTGGGGCTTCAACCAACTGATTCTTGCATCGGCCGTTTATGTCTTTTTTACAAATTTATTGCCCGGCATCACCTTTGCCAGTGATCTATACGTGCTGACGGGGGGGAACTACGGTGCTATAGAAGTTGTGTTTTCGACCGGACTTTGCGGGATTATATTTGCACTGTGAGTGACATTGTCGTACTCGTAGACGCGTGACCGGAGTTGATTCGGACATTCAGGTTTTCGGGGCAACCCCTCACCATTTTGGGTGTTACTGGGCCTTTCTGTATTCTTTCTGAACGTATTTACACGTTATGCCATGAGGATTTCCATGTAAGCCACGTGACCTACTGGGTCCGGCGGGTTGAAACCTGTCGTGGGGCTGGTTGCCATAAGCGTGTTTTACTAATTGGGAGTGGTACAGATACCCTATTTGCCATTTATGGCTTGGGCATGCATTCACTCTGCTTGGATGCATTGGCTGTTGGCAATATTCAATGCACATGACTGGACAATGAAATACGTTACTACGTTTTCCACCGAGATCTTTTCGTTGCTTAACTCTGTCATATATTTTCACAAGGCGTGAGTAACCCCCACATCCAATCCCCATATTTCGGCCCCGGACTAACCCCCTCTAGAGTGCAAGAACTCGAGAGATCACATGAAAAGACCTCGTTCGCCTCGTTTCTATACTCCGTCATCGGATGTGTTGGAACGTTCTTGGTCGCAGTGACTTTGAGTACAGCGAATAGCTGGGCTCCACTCTTCCATAAATATGTTAGGATGGGACTGGCAGAATATGCTGCTGCAATATCAATTGTCATATTTATCGCCATGCCTAATATTGGAGAATTGAATAACCTTGATCAGCAGAGGCTGCCTGTGTCCAGTAAGTGGCTCCTCCAAGTTCCTCACATATTATCACTCGCCCTGTACTCACCGACCTGTACAGCATCCTTCCGTCCCACTCTCCCCGAGAGGACTCATTTCATCGTCGAATTCTGGACCCTACCTGCAAGCTGGATATTTGCCGCTATACTGCCTGGCCTAATCATAACCACCCTTTTCTTCTTCGATGTTGAAGTGTCCACTATTTGTGCAACACTCTCTCGGTATAATATTAAGAAGCCGGGCGGATATGCTTGGGATGTAGCACTTTTGGGCACAACAACAGCGCTCTGTGGTATCCTCGGGATTCCACCAGCCAACGGTCTTCTTCCACAGGCACCTCTCCATTCCGAAAGCCTGCTTCATAGCGAAGGAGTGGAAGTGAATGGCGAGATCAAAACTATTCGAACAGTGTATGAGCAGCGGTGGAGCCATCTTTTGCACGCAATCGGGATCATGTTATTTGTGAGCCCGCCGTTCATGCACGTCCTCGGGCTCACACCTACGAGCGTCCTCGCGGGGCTGTTCTTGTACATGGGCGAACAAAGTCTCAGTGTTAACCCGATCTTGTTCCGATTCTTCCATATGTTGACGTGGGTTGTTGGTCTTCCTCATTGTAGCTATCAAAGGGCTAACGTAGACCTTTTAGGCCATCGGGTGAGCTCCCACAGCTGCCGGATGGGATGAAAGGGTATGGGGGGATACACATGTACACCCTTCTACAAATTGTGATTACAGCAGGAATCTTCGCCATCACCTTTACTCCTGGTGCCCCGGTGTTCCCAGTGATTATAGTCCTCCTAGTCCCGATACGACTGAACCTGATGAATAGATGGTGGAATAGGGAAACCTTGAACCGTATGTTATGTCTTCTCCATGGGGAATAAGAGTAGTACTAACGTTTTGGTAGACGTTGACAGTTGGGCATGCAAAGAGGGCGATTTCGGCACTGATGATGACGAAAACGGATCTCTCGATGCGAGGCCTGAGTTGTGAAAATGGGAGTATGAGAATGTGACATATTTCCTTCTTCATTCCTTCCGGTTCCTTTGGTGGGCTGTTCAAAGCGGAAAGGGTAAGCTAGATTTGTTGTACATGCCGGCCAATGGCCCTCCGAAGAGGGAGAGGGGAAAAGCTCGAGTTGTATATATTGCATCAGTTGACCACCTATCCACCCTCTTTACGTGGGGGGATTGAGAAAATGAATAAAGAATAGCAAGCGTTCCACATCAGCAATGTTCCACCACGAACCGGAACAGACTCTACGCCATGCACTAGTGCGATAATCATGCCACGCTCGTGAGGACAGCACCTATAGCGCCGCGCATGCCCGTGCAATGCACCACTCGCACGAGTATCGGACGAATACCTACGGTACTATAATAGATGACACCATCCCTTGATGAGAAAAATGCTCCAACAACATACCGTACCGGTACACCACAGCACCGCGGGTCAGGAGAGAGCAGCCGAAATACCTGGAAGAACCTTCAGCCAAATTATCATACCGGTATTTTCTACCATACCGGAGTAAGTTACCCTAGCCCGCTGAAACGGTCCGGCATCGCAAAAATTCCTCGAGCACGCTGAGCCCATTTCGGAACCATCCGCGTGCCAGGAATACCGTACGATATAATGACTAAATTTCATGGCAGCGAGCCAAACCAAACAGGGCGCGATAGGGAGAGCACCCCTACCGTGCAGAGCACCTTGATGACCGCGTGGGCTGTCCAGTACTCGTAGAAGGATGTGTGCAGGTCGGAGATCGCGGGATCAACCGCGCGGATAACCTTGCCACCCATACGTTAAACAAGCACGGTGTTTATCGCGGTAGGATCTAGGAATTGGGATCACTGGTATCGCTCGAGGTGTCTCCTGCCTGTTCTACGAGTACTGTCGCTCTTGATCCCGTGTTCATACTATTCTTAATTACGTTATGTGCGCTCATACCGGTAAAACCGTGTGAGCCCTCAGCGAGGCTTGGCGATATTTGGAAGTAAAGGCTGCCTGCGGTTAACTACAGTACCGCAGAAAGCCAAGTCATGCCGCGCCTCGCTGATTAATACCTTAAATTCATAGCTAAACTAACTACAAGTCATATCCCAATCCTGGTAACCAACTTAAGGCATTACGTTCCATGAGGTAAGCCGACCCAACTCGAAAAGCCAACCTGAGGGTGTCACCTCTCTTAGGGCTCACATGGTCTGCTCGTACTCGGGCACCGGTACTATGCCGTGCTCAACCGGACATCAGGTGCTGAGTCATCGGCAACCAAAAAATACTGGAAGATCCTCATTTCATGACCGGGTACTGCTAATCGCTGCCCGATCCGGCAGCGTATTCTCCCGTTTCGGATCGCTTAGGTTGCTGTGATGGGGGAACTTGCGTGGACCCGTTGATCATGCGGTGCATGATGTGCTGTGCTGGGCTTTTTCGTATTGGGGGGGGGGGGAGCCTTAGTTTGGCTGGTACGGCATGGGGGGGAAGATCCCATCATCACCAGTACGAGTGCAGATACTATATAATTTACTCGAATGCAGCACGAGATTTGCACTGCGGATCGGGTGGACGATGTGGGTTGAGGGGGCGGATGTGCTGCGCTGTATGTACTGTACTAGTACTGTACTCGTACCCGTTACCGCGCGACGGGTATCTTGCGATAATCGGCGGCGGGGAGGCTTTCATACTTGCTCACTCGCCGGGGTTGTGGAGTAGTTGTAAGTTGTAAGGGTGTGTGGGTTGGTTGCAATGCTCGAGTAGGCTACCGTACGAGTATGGTACTAGAGCACAGTACTGTACCGTTAGTGATGAACTTCCCCAAGGCGGGCTTGGGTCGCGCAGCTCCGGTTAGCATCACGGGTCAACCCACCATTTTTGAGAATAGTCCGAACTTCATATTACAAGTAGGGTACAATAGACGTTTGCGAGAGCCAATGGGAATGGGTTAACTGTACTAAGGAGGTGTCTTCTCTCCTTTTAACAACGGTAGCGGCACAGTACTGTATGCAGATATTATGCAAGTGGAAAAAAAAAGTGAACAGTGAACAGCTAGCTCTATGGCTAGCAACTGAAACGAAAGAATCCAAATCCCCCTCTCCCCACCACAACCACCACCATCAACCCACCGGATCCAACCTGGGGAGGAGAGTTCGGAAGAGGGAAAAAAAAACCCATTCCTACGAGTAGTTCGGTCTACAATGGCGGTACCGGTAAGGTAGCATCTCGGTACCGTACCTCCACCCCCCTTCGTATGCGTGACTGGTATTGTCACTGGAGAGTAAGGGCTAATCGGTATGTACGGTATGGCACCGCAGGGGGCCTGTTCGTAGAGCTGGAGGGAGAAAGTTTGGGAGAAATGTTTCACTCGCATCGATCGATGTGTAATGCAGGAGAGGGAGAGGGACTGACTCTCATGCAGTACTTGAAACATTTTTTTCTCCCTTTCCGCCGCACCTCCCTGTGTCCGCCCGCCGAGCGATGAGTTGGTTGAGGCCTTGGGCTGTGGAGGAGTGTTAGTTTTTTTTCAGAGAGGTATATAGTTGGGGGTTAGGCGGATGGGATTTTCTCTTCTCGCTTTGCCTTCCCTTCTACGGTACCGTACCTTGTTTGTGGGTGGTGTTTGAGAGTTGCGAGAATTGTACGGTAGCTCTACATCGCTGCCCCCACTTTTGTTCCCCATTCCAACTGCGGCTTGACTTATGCTTGCAAACGCTGCGGTATGATACCATAGGGAGGGATCTTCGAGAACTCGACCTTTTTTTCTTTTTCTTTTCCCCTTCTTCTTTCTCGAGTTCTTTCTTCCGGCAGCTTAGCTGAACTTGGTTTGGTTCAGCTCTGGCCAGTCCCGATTGTGCACCTTGCCGGATCGGACCCTGAAGGACGGTAGCTTTTTTCCCGCTCTTCTCCACTACCCCCGCACACACGCACTCTCCCCCACACCTCACATACACCCCCTGCTGTAACCAGTATTCGTGCTCTCCTCTCCCTCGCCTTTTTCATTCTTATCCTCCCCAACTCACTCGCTCACCTCCCTCCTCGACAGCTTGGGAACTCTCGTCTCGGCCATGTCTCAAAAAACTAGCCATCTCCCTTTACTTCCACCCCCAACAATCCCCCAGTCGCCGACTGCATCGTCCGCTGCGTCACGAAGTTCACGTACGTTTTCAAAAATCAAGTTTGGACTCCTTGCGGGTGTGCTAGCAGTATCCACGGTTTGGGCCTACTCGCGCTTGGTAGGGGGGTGTAATCACGGAGGGGCGCTCAGGTTCGGGAGCGACGAGTGGGAGGATGACTATACGGGAGTGAGTGAGGGGATGTCAGGGCGATTGGGGTATACCCTCGTTAAGGATATTCCCACCGGGAGTATTCCTGGCCGCGGGAAGAGGGGAGTTAAGAAGGGGGAGGGAGATGATAAGAGGTTGATTATTGTTGGAGATATACATGGGATGTTTGATGAATGTTTGATTCCCCCCCCCTTCACCCGCCTCCTGAATTTTCTGAGCTTGGGTTGGCTGACCGCGCGGCATATAGTCAGGGGTCTCCTTGACAAAATTTCTTACGATTCTGACTCGGACTACTTGGTCCTCGCCGGAGACATTATTTCCAAGGGCCCAGATAGCCTCGCGGTTCTAGACTTGGCCAGGAAGATTGGTGCGCATTGTGTGAGGGGTAATCATGAGGACAGGATTTTGCTGCACTATCATGATATCCAGAGACGGAAGCGGAAGCATCATCGGGCATCCGAAGTTGAACCCGAGTCGCCACCTGAGTCTGAAGAGGAGGATGAGGATGAATTCGGAAATATGGAGCTCGAGGTGGGCGAGAAAGAGTCTCGAAGTCTGAATGTGGAGAGGAAATTGGCAAAATCTTTGTCCAAAAAGCAGGCTGAGTGGTTGGATGCTTGCCCGCTTGTGGTTCGGGCCGAGAAGGTTCCTGGACTTGGACGGTATTATATTGTGCATGCTGGGTTGGTGCATGGCATTGAGCTTAAGAGTCAGGTATCAGCTATATTTCCTGTTGGATTACTCTGAGGATTGTGCTGATTGGATCTGCAGGACCCCTTGGCGATAATGACCATGAGAACCCTCAACCGCCATCTCGCCCCGTCGCCAAAGCAGGGCGGAATGCACTGGGCGAAGTACTGGAACAAAATGGAGAGGAGGAAAGCTCACGGCCATACCACCGTAGTGTTCGTCCTCTCTTTATTTCCCCGCGTTGTTTCGCTAGGGCGCTGACATTGTGAATAGCTACGGCCACTATGCAGCCGAAGGGCTCGACATCCGCCGCCACACAAAGGGTCTCGACAGCAACTGTGTTCGTGGGGGGAGACTGTCCGCGTACATCCTCGAAGCGAATAAAGGGGGAAGAGTAGAAGAGGATATTGTTAGCGTGAAGTGCAGAAATTACCTTGACTAGAGCTGTCCTGCTTTTCCTTAGACTAGACTGGACTTGTCTTGTCTGTTGTATAGATTTGATACCCTTTCCTTTTGTTCTCCCTTTATCCTTCTCCTTGAGTATTTCATATGGTGGATTGGGGATTATATCGTTTGGTCTTCCCGTCTTCACTTTCCTTTTTCACATTTTTCTGATGTTATCATGTACTCATGGATGTGGTTGGCGTTCTCCCCCCCCCCCTTCATTTCTAATACAACGTCATGGGATGGTTGGCTCGGTTTGGCATTGGGGAGGTTTTGTTACGACGGTCGTAACAAAACCTCCCTATTTTTTAGTCTCTTTTTTTTCCTTGTTTATCTGGTCCGGTTGAGTTTTGGGGGGAGAGAGGGTAACGCCTGATGCGGTGCCGATACCATATTTTTTTCGCTCCTAGCTGGGGATGCTGTTTACTGCCGGTACTGGTGTGGTGATTTAGAAGGGGGACGGATGAGCTCAGTAGGATAGGTCGCGATACTATAATGAATTTCTTGCAATTAGGTTTCGACCCATGCCTGAACGTGGATTTTCGGTGCTCGGTGCTTGGGGTGTCTGTCGGAGTGTCAGCGAGTATGAAATGGTGAACATTATACTCGAGTACTGTTGGTCGCATCCTGTGACTTCCGGTCCACTTTTGGATTTGTTCGAGAGATCAGAGACTTATCATACATCCCGTGATCCAGTGCTTAGTAATCGGACCAGATTTTATTTCTATCATAGTTGGGGACCTTCGGGTACATGCAGCTTGCAGCACGCGGATTGCGCCACGAGCCAGAACTTTCCGTGGCCATTCAAAAGCGAGGGGAATCGTGCGGTCGGATGCTGACGTCGGTGATCGCTTTGTCAGCTTCCTCCCCTTCTCACCCATCCCTTCTCTCACAAAACCCACATTTCAACCACATCTACCTTCACATATCATACCTTCGATAAAGATAGGAGTATCACAGCCTCTACGCTTTCTCCCATACTTCGATAGCCAAACAATCAGAAAAAAATGGGAGCTTCAAGCACCGTGCCCCACCATCAACCGACCTACGGCAGCAATGAGCCGTCCACTTCTTACACGAGGCCCCCTCCGGGCTACACTGGGGATCAGTCGCCGCTGATGGGGACCCCCCGCAGCAGTGAAGATAACGTTCCTCCCCCTCCACTCTATTGCCTACGAGCTCCTACTAACTGCCGTTGACAAAATGCCAGATCCCCGACGACTTCAAGTACTCGACCTCCGTAGCCGAGGCCACAATCGACATCCGCCACGCCTTCGTGCGGAAGGTCTATGCAATCCTCACGGCTCAACTTGTCACTACGGCAATCATTAGTTCAATTTCCTTCTTCAACGTGTCGTTCAAGACATGGATTCAGACAAACACCTGGATGATATTCGTCGCGCTCTTCGGCTCTCTGGGATTCCTCGGCTTGACGTTCTGGAAGCGTCACTCCTACCCTATGAACCTGGTCTTTCTCTCTGGGTTCACTTTAATCGAGGCCTATACTGTTGCCACCGTGACGTCTTTCTACGACTCCAGGATCGTGCTTGAGGCTGTCGTCATAACTGGCCTGCTCTTTGCTGGGTTGACCTTGTTTGCCATGCAGACTAAATACGACTTTTCAAGTTGGTATAGCTATCTCTACGGTGGGCTCTGGCTCCTCCTCATATTCGGCTTCGTCTCCATGTTCTTCCCGCATAATGGTTGGGTTGAACTTGCGTACTCGGGCGTGGCGGCTCTATTGTTCTCCGCATATATCTTGTTCGATACGCAGATGATTATGAGGAGGGTGCATGTTGAGGAGGAGATTGCTGCGGCGATTTCCCTCTATTTGGATATTATTAACTTGTTCCTTGCGTGCGTTCACCCTCTTGATTTTGCGATTCCTTGAGTTCGTTCTTGGCCTGTGCTAATATGAATGGGGTTGTAGTATCTTGAGGATTCTCAATAGTTCTAACGATAACTGAAATAGATCCTCTGTTGGGGGAACGAGTTAGGCGATGGAAGAAAAGTGCTAGGGGAATAGGAGAAATGATCAGGGAACGAGGACAAGGAGGAGGGAAGACTCATAGCCAACTGGGATGGAGCTTTCTGGGAAGGCTATGGACTGTGGATGATGGGGGTCGCTACTTTGGAGATCAACTTGTTTCTTTTCACTTCTTTTCGCTGCTTTTCTTTCGTTTTAGTTGCTCTGCTTCAATCGAACCGGAACTTATGATGGTGGTTCCTTTTTTCTCCCTTTTCCATCACAAACCCGCGCCTCAAGTTAGCCTATTATTTGGAAATTTTCACGATTGTGCCGCTAAGCTAACCCATCTCGCTTTTCCGTACTTGTATGCGCTTGGCCCGTTTCGTGTGAAATTGCTCCACGGGTGATTTCTAGCGAAGTCTACTGTATCTCGCCCGGTATCGTGAGGGAGCCCCGGTTTTTCCACCTCCATAAAATTAGGCGGAGAGGAGGGTACCAAATTTCGGTTGCCTCTGGATCCCCCCAAAAGATGTGAATTCTTATATATGTACACGTATGGGTACTGTGAAATTAGCTCTAAAGGATGAACGTAAATAACCCAATTTGCTTTCTCAAGGGCCTTTCCAGTGGGCCGTGGGATATATAATATATTATAATAATATTATATATGCGTCCGGACGGCTAGCACACTCGGAAACTAACTAACCCCCCCGAGAATGAAACATAATGAACTCTATGGATACAAATTACCTGGAGCTAGCATGACCCTTCGAGGGACCGAAAAATCCGGGGTCATCATGATCCATGGAGACCCGCATTCTATCACATTCTATGCCTTTGCCGACTGGTATAAAGGAAGAACCAACTAAGCCAACTGCCCCTGTCAAATGGCGCCAGGTGCGAAACGAAACGCAAACCCACTTACCTACCTTAACCGTATGCACTAGGGGTAATCCGACAACAAAGTGATGGCTGGGGAACCAAGCTTTGCCTCGATGGATCCTAAAAATTGAAACGGCTCACCGGGTAGTTATCCCGCAGGTGACTTGTCAAGAGTGTAGTGGGGATCCAGCAGGTCTGAAGGCGTGCAAGAGAGACGGATTGAGCCACCGGTAATGATGGGCCGTTTTTTCTCTCTTTCTTGGGGGTGGGGGGTTCGCTAACATGCCTATATGATGCCAGTACTACCGGTATGATACAGTGTTTCCGGACCCTATTTTTCACATTTTCAATCTCGAAATCGAGAAGGTAGTCCCCTCTCGTGTTATTCGCATTGCACGGTTACAGAAACGAAGTCACAGTTGGTATCGGTGGAGTACTGGCATAGTAAGGTATTTGTACTGCACCGACCGCCTCCCTCAACACAATTCCAGCACGAGCAATCCATGGGGGAATTGTTGCTCAAGCGCCCCCTCAATACCGGTGCTCTCCCACTCGCTGGCCGTAAGGACCTCATTTTTGGATCTGCGGATACGGGATTGGAGTGATTGGGTGGGCGTCGTTATTTTCTGAGTACAATACTGTATCACTAGTATTGGCTCCTCGACACCTCAAGGAATTCGAAAATTCCGTCATTCAAGATGCCTACTTTCAGCCCACCTCTATGCATGTGGGTAATTTATATCTTGTACAGTAGGAAGCTCACTTATTTACAGATATATGTTGATTGTGTTTTGCTCTTCTCACCTTATAATAAATTGAAAATGAGCAAACACAACAAGTGTCATAGTAAACTCTGCAAGGCTGTGAATTTTAAGTTTGGTAAAGGGCTCAGCTTTTAGAGAAAGATGGAGAGAACAGTTTTCCTGATTATTAGGATCTCTGGAGGTGTTGTGACTCAGAACAGGTTTTTGGACCGTAGTGGTATATGAAGATATACATCTCAACTTATCATGGCTTATTTCCACTCTCGTACACGAGCACAGTATCGTGGCTTGCAGCGATGGTTTTTGTGGTGGTGCTATCGTAAAGTGCGATACTGTACTCCACAAAGTGCCCTGGAAAGAATAAAGGAGTATCTGGTATGTCGTTGCTTTCCCATCTTGTGACACGAGCACATTCCCGATCGGAGGGTTGCTATAGCACTGCACTGGAGAAACATACAAGCCAATATTGGTTCTCGCTCTGGAAATTATGAATATTCGACTATGGTAATTACTACATAGGGCTTTATGATAGGATGGCTATGTAAATTGCGGTTGGGCAGCCTCCTCAGGTCAACTCAACATAGCCTCGTTGCTGTTCTCATTCTAGCTTTTCCATAACTCGGGATAGAGTTCGCTTGGTTGGGGATTAGTGGCGGGCCTCTTGGACTGGGTGGGTACGTATGATACAGAATGCAGACTTTTCAATCAACCTTTTCCACAACCCTATGGGTGCTGGTATCATTATACCCTGAGAGCCAGCCCGTAGAAGTTTTCGGCTGCTGGCTGCTGGCGGTGTCTTCCCAAATACCATGACCAGTAGCGGGCGATTGCCAGTATGTGTGTATCTATGCGCACCGATTTTGAGGGACATTTTCTTGGTGTTGCGATATCTGGGGCTCTCACCATCACGCGATACTCTTGCTTACCGGCACCCCTTACGGTACCTGTATCGTGATCCCATGTATGATAGTCATTAGGAATACACCCACTTCCAGAGAGTCTAGGCCAGTTTTCTCCAAGCCCCAGCATTCACAGAACCTCCGATGCCCACTCCACCCCCCCCCCCCCCCAACCACCAAAAAAGCAAACGAACCCATGCACTGCCTGTACAGTACAAACCCATCCTCAAACTTTCGAAAATTAGCTCACAAATCTATTCTCGATGCTGCGAGCTCCGCGATATTCTTCTAGAATATCTTTTCAAAGCTCACCGGGCGGTACCAGTGACTGTTACACCGACCTACGGTGCAGCAGTGGCGCCGACCGAAAATTGGAACCTCTCCACAGGATATTATATCCGCGCCGCATGCTATTGGACCCGGCAGCGATTGATATTTCCAGAATGTTACTCAATAGTGCAGCCGTATCGGTTGTGGCCCTAGCTGGAAGAACAACAGATGGGTGGACTGACTTGGATGATATAAATTTAGCACACGGCCCGATCTTTCGGGATCCTACCATAGCTAGCGCAATTGTAGTCACATTACATTCACATTCCCTTTCTTTCGACCATATAACCGTGCCAAGGTTAAGGCTATTAGATGTACCGGTATCCCTAGTACCGTACTGTAGTTCACCGTTGGCCTGGTTCTGATACAAGTGCTTATCCCGGTAAACTGGATCATCCCAACAGTTATAAACACCAGAATCGGTTAAATATGAAAAGTGTGCTCTGTTCTCGTTACCTATCCTACCGGTATATCATGGCCCTTTCAATATATATTCAAAAAACAAATGCTTCCTTCCAACACCATCTACAGAGTTCAGAATATGACCCTGTTGGTGCTGCTGTCAAAATGTTAACCAGCACTTTTTGTCTCTTAACTAGCTTTCTAGCCACTCTAGCGCGTGCCTCCAAAGTTCCTGTGACCTCCAATTTCTCCAATACTCCTGCTATTTCGAATATCGCAGTGGCCGACGAACCACCAGTCGGGTCGATCGTAAGGACTGAGCTATCGCCGCTACTGTCAAAATCGGGGGAAATATCACTCCCGAGTGACGGAGATAGTTGGAGACGCAGGAGCAGGGGGTATAGTCGCTTTCAGGAACCACCACTCGCAGCAGTAATCATCCCTAAGGACGAGGATGACATTCTTACTGCCGTATGCCCACTCCCGTCTCGATTTTAAACCGATCAAGAAAGACTGACTGGGAATATGGGAGCATAGATGAAATACGCCCAAGAAAGCAAGAAGGTGTTGCTAGTGAAAGGGGGTGGAAACGGACTGGCAAAGATGAGCCATCTTCGAGATCTCATCATGCTTGATCTCAGCGAAATGAGTAAAGTCACTCTCAATATGGAGGCTAGGACAATGGCAGTTCAACCGGGAGCCAGGGTCGAGGAGATGTTAGAGGAGATTGCGCATAAAAAGTTTCGCTCTCGTGAGTTTTCATTTACGAGCCTGCTCGTTCTTATATGGGCTGACTGGCCGTCTAGCATTCCCTACGGGAGATTGTGTGGGTATAATTGGAGTAACGCTCGGCGGTGACCATGGTGTATTCGACTGCGAGTACGGGCTCATGAGCGATAACCTGGTCTCGGTGAAGATGATCACTGCGAAGGGTGAAAGATCTTTCTCAATGCGACTGAGAACCCAGATCTCTTCTGGGGGATCAAAGGTGCGGGAAACAACTTCGTTCTTATAACGGAGGCCACTTACCACGTACACCCCAAGACCCTCTTTTTCACCTCACCATAGAGGCCTATTACTCCCCAGACAATCTGGAGCAAGTCTTCAAGGGGATGAACGAACCGGATATGCCCCCGGAATCCAGCTCTACAGTCTACTTTCTGCCCGACAGACGCGGCCCCCGGAACCTCGCAACCCCCACCTCTCCCTCCAAGTACAACCAATTCCGCCACTAACTATTTCCCCAAACAAAAAAGCCCAATATCCACCTTGCTTTCGTCTACCACGGAAAGCCAGACCCGGCAGGGGAGGCATTCGAAAAAATCTACAGTCACATACCCAGAACAAAAACGACAGAGTCCCCAACAAGGTACCCGAGACTAAACACCGACAGGGGAAACTTGATCCCTCTGCTTGAGTGCAATCCCGACGGCTGGGGGTACGAGTACCGAAAGAACCAATTCTCCGTCAGCATGAAGACCCTCGACACAAGTGTTATGGCAATGGTGTACGATGAATTCTCGAACTTTGTCAGGAGTTACCAAGTGTATTACTCTTCCACCGTGAAGTTTGAATCCACAAGGGTGAAGAAGGGTGATTCTACCACTAATGATGTGTACGCTCACAGGGACCAGAGACATCATGGGTACATTCCTGCTCTACCCTTCCCTCTCCCCGAGAACTAGAAGGTTCTTCTAGCTAATACAAAGGTAATATAACTCTCCTCAGCTATGACGAAGAAGTCAACGACGCCATAGCAACAGAATTCGGGCACAGGATCAGAGGCCTCCTGTAACACAACACCGACAACGGCGTACTCCACGTCTTGCCAAACTACGCTCGTGGAGATGAGCCCCTCGGTGCGCTCTACGGGTACGACATGGGAAGACTCAACAAGTTTGTCGCGCTGAAGAGGAAATACGACCCAGAGCAGTTCTTCAGCGCAATGACCCCAATCCCATTGGAACTTCCGGAAGACGTTCTCACCCAGACAGAGAACGGCGAGAATAGGATAAAGGTCTGGGGGGTCCTTGCCGGGAAGAAGAGATTGACGGGGAAATCTCCGGAGCCTCTAGAGGCTGCAGGAATTGCAGGTGGGAGCCCTCTAGCCGCCAGAGGGGAGGAACTAGAAGAGCGCAATCAAGCACGGGCAGAGACAACTGGACGAGAGATTGGTCCTGATGAATCACAAACTCCTTTTCCTTTCGCTTATTTCCGTTCCCTTGGACACCGCGTATCATACATAAATTTACTGGTGCCCTGCATCAAGCATATTTGCATTTTGAGTAGGTTAGCCCGGTTTTAGAATGGTTTCTGTTTTTTTTTACGTCATATTTAATGTGAGCTCTCTGGATTCATGGTTGGAAATTGGTTGATATGCATAACCTTGAATGAAGCACCGTGAGATCGATATCGGGCCTATAAGTTCCATCTGTAGTGTCGCGGGGGGTCCAGGGACACGGCAGGCGGGGGCTCACAAATTTACGGTAACTTGCTAAGTTATGTTATGCTAGAATCACGAATAGCAGAATACTTCAGGAATAACTACCGCCCGTAATATTAAAATTTTATTTAATATCGAATTTAGGAAAAGTTGTATAATATAATCTCATAATCTTGTGCTAGTCCTAGAACAAAGGATATCCACTGGCCCACCTAACATACTCTTTTATGTGTGCCGCCGTACCACATCCAAAAGACTCAAGCACCGTATGTATCCAGCAGCCTCTTTTTAGCAATGGTTTTCCAATGCTTTGAAACATTTTGCCCAAGTCGCTTGAGCCCTACTAGAGCGTTCGTCTTGGCTACAATGGCAGGCCAATCTGCCTCAGCCGTCAACGTATCGAATATTATCCCAATCTCACCCGCAGTTATACCCCCTCCTTCTGCTGATTTACTCTGTCCTCGGGGGGGCACATCTCCGTTGTTCGGAGTCTTAGGGTCCTTACTAACTATCTTTCTAGGGCGACCTCTGGGCTTCGCGGGGGATGACGATACCCCCTGCTACAGATAAGGTTAGAAGTTGACCAGAACCCATATTCTCCCTCGATGAGGAGAAAAATGAAAATATTGTATAGCAAATACCTTCACAACCATCGCGCCGGCTTGCTTTTTCTTCCTTCCACGTTTTGGCTTTGGTTGAGGACCCCCCACGGAAGGTCCCCCGACATTCGTGCCAGTATCTTTGACATTGGCTACTTCATCTCCTCTTTCAGACCCCTTAACAGTTTTTTCTGCCTTGGGTTCCTTCGGGGTTGGCGGTGGAGTTAGTGTCGAAACAGATTTCTCCTCGGCTGTTGACTTTCTCTTTTTCTTTAAAGAAGGGCGAGCTCCTAGAGGCGACTCCTATAAAGGATGAAAAAGTCAGCCAAACAATTAAGTGGGGCTGTGGCCAAGAGATATAGAAATCCGGACGTACCGCCTCATCCAGCAATGCTGCCTGATCATCGTTCTCACCAGATTCATCATCCGTGGATCCGCTATTATCTTCATCCTCCTCTCCTCTCTTCCGTTTGGAGTTCTCAGCTCCAGTAGTTTCAACCGCTTGGGCACTATCAAACCCACTAGACAGCCCCCAAGAGGAGCCCACCTGCTCTTCGTCCCCTTCGCCGTCCGAGGATGATGAACATTCATCCTGGGACTCTACCTCATCTATTGTGATGTCAGCTCTCTCCCTTGACTCAATGTCGCCCCTTGAGGCTTTTTGTTTCTCTCATTGAGACCGGAACTCGGACTTGGCGCTTCTTCGTACCCTGAGTTGCTTTGCCATTTTCCTCTGCAGAAGCCGAAATCCTCTGCTTGACGGATATTTGAGTCATCTTTCTCACGAATTGCAGAAGGGCGGAACCCTGTGGTTACCTGGACAATCTCTTCTGCTTCTGACTCAGACTACGGCGGTTATATTAGCATATGCACCTGAATACCTGGACAAGATTACCAGTTACCCCAGTCAGTTCCCCATCAACGGGGTCAAACACAGCCTTGTCCTCTCCCGTAGATTCATTGCAGCTGAAGAATTCGAGAACTTCCTTGGTTTGGTTAGTCAATCAGCTTCCAAGATAGAAATAATTGGAGAGACTTGATAATGAAAGGGGGATTCGGCAAAGAGGAAAACTAGCGTAATAAGTAAAGCTAACCTGCGTGGCCATGACGGCAGATAAAAGGTCTTGTCGATAATTCGAGGAACCTATTAAGAGGAGACAGCAGTAGCTGCGGAATAGGGTAGATGACTGGTTACCTCCCGGTTAAAGGTGAGGTCAACCCTCGGTCTTATATGACACAGTATAGATGGTGCGACTAGAAACAGGAGAACCTTACCATACCGTTTTCTGAGCCCAGAGACAGTCTACGTCGCGGATAGTGACGTCAGGCGTAACCAAGACACAAAGATGCTCTAAATATTTTAGACAATCTACTGTTTTTTGCTGTTGGGGTTTATGAGAGTGAATTGTAACGTACAATTAGAATAGCTGGCATCTTATGGACCATTTACAATCCAAACGTGATTACCAGCAAACACACCTCCCCTAGAGAAGCAAACGCGCAACTAAGACACTAGAGCCGAAGAGTGCCTAGGCACACAGACCTACCAAAGCGATTGATCTATAGAAGTATTGGTACGGTGCCACCACCACGATAATGATATAGAAGCCGTGCCCAGAATGTTTGTACTTGTACAATTAATACCGTGCAGCATGAGAGTAGAACCAACTCTGCATCACTGCACTTGCTGGAAAGAGCAAACCAGAGCTACTACCGCTAGTAGATTAAAAGAGGGAGCAGTACCATACAACGGGTGATACTTTCTGCCCGCGGACCTCCCGCAAAACCTCTACGCCACCAACGGATTGGACTAGTATACTTAGAACAAGGGTACAATTCCCAAACATGGAGCCTCAATGATAGAACGATATTAGCACCTATCATTAGGGTGCAGACATGAAAAGTGAGAAGCACCCACCACTTTCTGCGGTAGGTTTCGTTATCGCATTCCTGATTTTCGAGGGTGCAGTCCAGCTTCAGGCACTATGATCGGATTGAGTATGCTAAGCCCTAGTGAACCTATTACTCAGGGCCAGATAGCTTCACTTTCTATAAGTTCTACAGGCACTATGCGCCCATTAAGCATCACGGAAATCGAGTTTTAGCAGTGGTTTCCGGAATTCTTATCCTCACCGCTACTCACTCGGACTAAATCCGGGGGTAGCGCCTCATCAAGTGTGGGCTGGGGTGGGGGTGTTACAAACCCTAACCCCCCCCGCTACCACACCCGTCATCGGTGGAACCTTCACACCACACTACACAAGCTTCGGCTCCAACATTCATCCTACATCTTCATCCTCAACCACTCAAGACAAGATGTCATCTCCAATAAAACCACCAAGCGCTCTTCAGCCGTTGACCGATCACCTCAACGCCATCCTTTTGAATCCCTCTGACACGCCACTCGACACAGGTCTCGTGGAGACCTTCACCGCACAGTTAACGGGTCTGTCGATAATCTGCAGCAACTACTTGGGCTGGCTGGCTAACATCTTGGCTCAACAGAGGGCCAGTTAAAACTTCTTGTTCCTTCGTTGGTCCCACTCATTTCGTCTACATTGTTTGTTCTCCATGAGGATCCCTCACCTCTAACGACGCTGCTACGGAGCTTACTGTCTACAACCTCCTTCTCCGAGATCCTCCCACTAGCGACGCCAGAGATCATACTACAAACACTGTCTGCACCAGTCCCCCCAATTCAACTTTTAGGGATTGCTTTACTCCAGAAGGCGGCACTTGCGGTCTCAGACGCCGGGATTGTCGCCTCGTGGACGGATGTCATCAAGAAGCTTCTTGAGCTTATGCTAGCTTCTGAGGATACCGGAATATCCTCTAAGTCGCTGGATCTTTTGCTAAGCTTGCTCAAAGTCGACTCGCCTAAAGCCAATGGAACCGGCTTGGTTTGGCGCAGGATATTGGAGGATAGAGGGGTTTACGAACTATTCTTCAAATTGTGTTCCTGGGATGGAGATGCTCTTCCTGGGGGGAAACGTGGCAAAACCGAAGGGCAGGGAAGATTATTGGAATTTGTCGCGAAACTGGCCGAGCTTGATTTCAGTGCTATCGTAGCTTCTCGGTTTCCAGAGATTGAGGAGAAATTCAGCATTAGTGCGGATGACCCGTGTCGGGGGTTACTGGACTTTGCTGCGAGGCACGCGGTTCGGGTGGATGACGATGTGATGATGCATATGCTCTTGTTAGATTTTTATGCCGCATTACTGAGTTCCGCTGGCTCTGCCCAAGCATCTGCCGAGAGGCCTTTGGATTACCTCCATAAATCCGGACTCCACGAGTCAACAATCGGAAGATACTTGGCACCGGAGGCGCACTCTGATGATTTTGATGATTTTCTCACTCAAAATTTCCTCGAATCCAAGGCGGCCGAATACATAGCTACGTTCGCCTCGCTACATGCGAAGGAGCTTCTCGCAGAACCTGCACCAGCAATCCCTGATAGCAGGCAACCCAAAAGAAGGCGCACGTCGGATACACCGACACGCGCCAATCCCAAACCACTAACACAGGCTCTCCTCGAGAGAATACAATTCTGTATAGAGGAGTGCCCACAACATCCACACTCCCCGTCGTTAAGAATTCTCAAATCCCTTCCACCCAGCCTCCTGATCACCTCCTATCCTGCTTCCGTCGTTTCCAAGATACCCCTATCTCCCCCTCAGGCCGCATACATCAGCGCGCTTTCAAGCCTATTCGCTACCAGAGAGATCTACTTCGCATATTCTGACGCGCATCCTGAACTCTGGCAAACCCTGCTGAAATACGCTTCGACGCCTGCCCTCTGTAATGAAGCGCTAGCAAGTCTGGATCTTATAGAAAAGCTAAGCCAGAACGGTGTCTGGGGCCTACGCGAAGTACTGGAGTCACCCGGGGTGATGACATACTTGATAACTCCTAACTCAAGATATGCTGCCGGTGGCGGTGACCCCGAGAGCTCAGTCTTCAAAATATCGGTGAAAAAATGGGAAACCTTGAATGCTATAGAGAGGGCGCTGGGGGAGTGGAGGGATGAAGTCCCTGGCGCTATAGGGTGGGGGGTAGTTATAGCTGAACGGGCTCGGACCGGTGTTTGGGGAAGCAGGGCGGGAGGGGAAGTTGCTACCGCTGAGATGTAGTTATCTTTTCGACTAGATTCTTTTCACTTGACTAGGGGTAAATTTCATAGGTGGCTATCGTTTGAAGTATTAATATCATTATCCCCACCCAGGTTCCCTCGATAGGCTATGCACCAGCTACGCCCAATCCGGAATCCTCCTGCCCACACGTCCTAGAAAAGCTCCCCCGGCTGGGCGCAACATCCCGAACGTGGTGTAACGGGAGCAAAGTTTGGCCACAACTAGCAGATTTTTCGTGGAATGAGTACCGCACAGTTTGGTCGTTGGAGCAGGTGGTGGTATCATACAATCGTAGGTAAAAGCAGGTAACCGGTATCATACTGTGCATCAGATATAATTCAGGATAATAATATTATCACATATACTCGAGTACTGTACACGATACCTTCGAAGTTAGGACCAGGGGCCACCACAATCTTATGGGAAGGGATGCTTGACCCTAGTGAGGGTTCTAAACCAGGGTCACTCCTGGAAAATGGGTCCATCACGGCTTGGTAGATAGGATCCTGAAAGCGGAGATTATCATGCGTGACCCCCCGCACGGAGTCGGGTACTTGTAGACAACAAAGGAGGTGGGGGGGGGAGGTCCGGAGGAAAGCGGGCAAGAAGCATCCGGGCACCGGACCCCGAACCCTGTAGGGTATGGGCAGGTATCACACGTGCCGTACAGTACGATACGAGCAGCTATCATCAGCCGGTATGATACCATACATTTGTCTAACCCCGTGCTCTAGCGCCTGCTAAACTATGATACCCGGTTCCCGGTACTGTACAGTACACTAACTGTACCGGTAGTAGTAGCTCTAGCGGTATGATACTTGCACTACTCGAGTACTAGTACACTTGTATGATACTATAACAAGAACCTCACTTCGGCCGACAAAGACCCGTCCCGCGCTCTCACTAGTAGGATACTTACCGGTACTTGTACCTAGGTACGATAGATAGTATGATAGGGTATCATACATTCCCTCCACCGCGAACCCCCCCCCCACATTCCTCAAATGCGAGACCCCTCCAAGAGATGTCGCGTGGGGTTCAATAATGCAGGGACGGAGAAATATTGTCAATTTCCTGGAGGTTTGTGCGTGAAAAGGGTGCGCAAAGCTCTTTGTATTTTTTTTTTTTTACCTCCCCCCCTCCCCCTTTCACCAAGGCTTGATTGCGTGACCAAAAAGGGTTTGGTCTGGGTATATTCTGAATTTTGGAGGGTTGTCTAGGTGTAAGGCACTGTACGGTACGAGTAAAGTGCTGTACTAGTACCGTACTATGCCGCACTCGTACGATACAATGCAGTAACCCGTGATCGAACGCCCCCACAACTATTCCCCGAATGTGGAGGGAATAGTGTCAAAGAAAGAAAGAAAGGATATATATTTAGCAGGAAGGTTCATCTTCCTGAACCGCACAGTTAAGTAGGACGAAACAAATTTCCGAAATATCTGCACACAAGGTGGGAATAATCACTGTTACCATAGCATGCTTGCCTTTCCCCCTCATTATCCACTCTATTACCGTATCTCTCCTAGGCCGGCAAGGACACTGAAAATTTTTGTGCCCCGCCCCTGTCAGCCTCTTTTTGTCCGAGACACGAATGACTAAGAAGAGTTTCGACCCTCCCCGCCCAGACTTGTAAGTCAGTCAATATCAGTTCGTGGTCCGAGGTCTAAAACACAACCAGCCACCCACGAAACTCTTTAGTCATTGACAAGATGTCAAAAAATTTGACAGCGGTGGTGGATCCTATTTTATTTTATTTTTTTCAATGTCTTACCGGCCCAGGAGATGTCGAAGCAAAGCAAAGCAATACATGGCAAAAATGGGCGCGGCAGGGTGCGAGTTGATAATGAGAATTTGTTTTTTTTTTTTTTTTTTTTTTTAGTGCTCACACACGACAGGAAAATAACATACCATACCATACTAAATTTAGTAGGATTAGTTAGTTTGATGGGAGTTAAAAGGAAATAACGCAGTCAAGATTTACCGTGTACTGTACTGCACAGTACTAATACAGCGCTAGTACAGTACTCGCCAAGCACCAAATCCTTCCCTTTTTTCCAATTCCAAATTCCAAACATCTATTTCCAAATCGTGTGGGCGCGCAAAGCAGGGAAAGCCCTCGCAAAATAACAATATCCGCAGTTTCAGAAAAGGTGAATTTTTTAATTCAGGAACTGAAGTCCACTCGGGGGAGTTACGAGAGAACTCCAAGAGCTACCGGCTCTTCTCACTCACTCGCCGTGGTTGGCGCTCGCACGGTATAATATGTATGGCATTGCATTAAATTTTCATAATAAAACATCGTGGCCAAAAGCCACACATCGCCAGGAACGGGCAAAAGGATTCCTTGTGACTAAGCATAATGGAAGATATGCAGCCACATTTTTCTCTTTTTTTTAAAAAAAAAAAAAAAAAAAAACGTACCATCATGAGAAACAGGGCTTGTCGTCACGGTATTATGGAACAACTCTGCTCCACTTTCTTCTTTCTTCTTTAATTTTTTCTCAATTGCCGTAGTTCCGTGTGAAACTGCATACTCGTACCGTAGTCAATTAAACAGAGGTGCGGAAAGAAAAAAAAATCAAGAGAAACGTAAGGGTTCGCGACTTTCTGACCAGGTTTTTCATCTGATGCCCGTGACCCATTGGAAATCTACCATACAGTACCGCGACAGCACTGGTATGATACTTAGGATATACCGGTATAAGTAGTGCAAGAAGCGCATCGTAGCGCCCCCACTCTGCGCCCCCCTCACACCATATCTTGGACGTTCGCGAATCGGACCCGGCTTCTGGAACCCAATTGTTCTCTCAAGCTTCGTTTCTGGGGGTCCTTCTCTCCTTCCTTCCTCTAAATTTACTTCTCCGTAGACTAACCCCTACATCTTGGCCAAAATACCCTTATTATTAATACAGCTCCACGAATCTAGGTCTGGTAAAACAAAGAGAAACCCCCCCCCGATCCATTCCATTCAGTACTGTACCCATTACATTTAATCCAATAATCTGCCATATTACCGGTATCATGTCGACCAGCAACGGTTTTTTTCCTTCCAAGGTTAACCTCGGCGACCATCCCGTAGCACACACACACCCACTTTTCTGAATCATGTTTCATGTACGCCACGGTACGACCATAACCACCAGGAACGCGACGCAGGTACTATGGTACTCGAGTACGTGCCGAACCATACCCGTACATGCTCGTTCGGTCCCTGTCAATCTCCTTTCCATTCTTCCTTCTTTCCTTCCACCAACCCCCCCTCCTTCTTTGAGGATAATGAACAATATCAAGCAGGGAATATCGCAAGGCCTCCATTTCCCCTCCATAAAGAAACAATCCTATCAGAATTACGCCTCCCGTAGCCTCCCATTTATCGGTCCAGTAGAATAGGGTAAAAGGAGATTCGTGAACTTCGTCGCGTCGTTTCGTGATTATAAGGCCGAGGCCATGACCGCCGGTGGAGGTCTTGCTGCTCACATTATTAGCCTGGCTCCGACCCAATCCCGCGATAATGACAAAGCAAGTAATGGTGGCGGCGGGAAGAGCATACCAATCCTCGATCCCCTCCTAATTGAAAAACGCCTGCCCCGCCCCCGGCCTAATGCCTCCTCCACATCCCTCTCACACGCCCTCCTCCTCCGTTTCTTGCGAAATATCCCCCTCCAGAGTGATCTGCTTGCTCCCACTTCCCCTTCCGCTTCCTCCTGCTCCTCAGTGATTGTATCCGGCATCGCCGATGCGGGCATCGATGTTGTCGCCGTCACTGGCGCTGGCATTGGTGGTGGCGGTGGTGGTGATGGCGGCGATGGGGTTCGCCAGTAGACTTTTATTAGGGTAACTATTACCGCTAATAGTAATGATAGGCCGATGCTTCCACAGAGGAAGGATATAACGATTGTTTCTGAGGCGGGGGGTGGCATGGCATGTTTTTGTTTCCCTTTATTATTTTTTCCCTCTTTTCCCTCTTTTCCTCTCTCTCTCTCCTTTCCTTTCCTTGATTCCTCTTCACGATGACGGGATGGTGGTGGCGGTCTGCAGAAAGGAAGGAAGGGAGAGAGGGAGGCAAAGAGTTGGATGATCTGAATAAGACTTGTTGACCTGTCTGTCCCGTTCGGGCTTGGTATTTGTGTGCATTGGTACCGTAGGCTTGCTTATGGCTCCTCCCGCAGTACTGGTACTGTGGATGGAGGGGAGGAAAGAAAAAGAAAAGAAAAAGACAGCGGGACGTGGGTCAAGGGGTTAAAGGGGGAAAAAAAAGGGACCCCTTCCGCCCATTCTGATAGACGCGCCCTCACTATTGTGGAGAATTTTGCTTCGCTTAAAGGGGTGGAGAATGAATGAGTGAACGAGTGTCTCGCGGAGCGCGCGCATTGGAAAAGATTGTAAGACAGGAGATGGATTTCGTCCTGGGATTATTCCTGTAAACCTTATGTTAGGGGACGGATTGTTTTGTTTGGGAGGGCAAAGGGGGAAAGGACGCGATATCTGATTCCCCGATGTCAAGATAAGAGTAAGACAGGCGAGCTGGGGGGGATCTGCGCGTCTATTAGGCGGGATGTACCGATGTGTTATGTTGGTGGTGGCTGAGGCAGCGAGTGAGTGGTCGTGTTTCCCTCCAGAGCGCGGACGGGGAATTGCTGAGGACTCTTTTGGAGAATGTCTCTCAGCATTTTCGTCCGCCAGTCTCCGTCGGAATATTTATTTTCTTCTTCTTCAGCTGTTTTACCGCGCTCTGCGGGTATGGTTTAAAATGAATATACTACTATACAGAGAGTTCAACACTTAGCCTATATCAATAAATGTTCCCCCCCCCCCACACCTCCGCTTCCCTCTCCTACTTTTTCTCCTGCGGAGGCGCAAATGTAACAGATACAATATGTTTCAGTTCCGTAAGACCATCATCAAGCGCAAGCCATCCAAATCGTATAACCTCCCAAAAAAAATCCTCCCATTTCTAACAAGGTAAAAAATATATATCCCCCAAAAAAAAGCCAACCCGAAGATGAGAAAGAAAGAGACAGACAGGCATTCCAAAATCACGGGGCACCGACCGAGACCTCAGCCTTGTAATTGTGCGCACAAACCCCCCTCCCATACCCGCCCTGCGAGCGAATACTCTCCTGACTCTCTTTGCTCGCCATCTCAACGTCCACATCCCCGCCCTTCCCTTCACGCCTATACTCCTCGACCGTGAAGGAGATCCTCTGATCGATCTCGAGTGCCGGCTCGCGCGTGATCCGGTCCTCGCTACCCGCCAAAGATGTCAGCGTGCCCTTCTTCTTGGACATGTCTGATAGCGGTTGGGAGCCGTATTTGGGAGTCGAGCGTTCCTGGAATGAGCCGATGTTGAAGACTCGTCGGAAGAGGGGCCATAGCATCGGCAGGTTAGAGACGTAGACCGCTGTCGAAGCCTCCCGGATGTACCACAGCATGTATATAGTAGTGAAAGGGTTGGAAAAGTTGTAGTATTTGTTTAGGATTGCAGCGAGAATCTATGATTTTCCCCTCCTTAGTCTCCGTTTTTAAAAGGGGGTTAAAGGGAAGGGAGGAACTTACGACGAAGATACCACAGCCGAAAATGCCAACCAGGATTAGTTTTCTGTATTTGGGTGGCGGGGGTTAGTTTATCTGATATCAAAGGTTTCTTTTTTTGGAGGGGGGAGTAGAGTGATAACTGGTGACATACTTCTTGGTAGGCACTCTAGCCTTAAGGAATAGCGGTATAGCGATGCCCAGCATCATCAAATCCGATGAGATGTTGAAGCACGCCTGAACAATCGAATAGTGCTGGTATGTCGCGCATTGCTCTAGAACCATAACATCTCTGTCAGCCCTCATGTAGCACAAAAACCCCAAAAAGAGTCTTCGTACCCATAGGAACCGGCAATGCCCAATACCCGTTAAACGGCCGACAACTCAAAAACCAAGCCAACTCTATCGAAACGAACCCAACAACGATATAACCTCCAACAGCCCTCACCAGCATCTGTTGCTGCAGACGGGTGCTAAACCATCCCACATGGATATCAAATCAGCTTCCTCCGCCTCCCACCCGCCGCCACGGGATCAAGGACACATACGTTAGACGATTGTACATTAGTATCATGCATCCCTTGATGCCCCATATTAATATCAACATGGCCTGCTCCAGCAGGATCACGATCTTGCTGCCGTATATCCGGGTTTCAATGTCCTCGGGCGTAAGGGTTTCCAGGGTTCCTGGCTCCATAAGGTTTGTAGCGGTGCGGCCGGACACGTTGATCGCGGCCATGAGGATTGTGTACATTGTCTAGGATACGTTAGTCAGAGATATGGCTCTGATAGTCGGGGTAGAAACTGACAGCATTGAAGATCATGAGGTAGTCTTCTGTTTGGAGATTACGGAAACCATTGAGAATTAGACAGCGGGAGTATCTGGTGGTTTTTATTCGAGGAGTTAGCGTTTCAAAGCTCCATTTGTCAAACTCTCTGAAGAAGCAAAGGGATGAAATGAAGAAAGAAGCTCACATCCTCCCAATGATCAACAATATCCCAACACTGTACATACTCCATGACTCTACGGTCAGTTGCTCTGGTGTCGGTGAAGTCAAAGCCATTACGTCGCTCCTTCTTACTCTTCTTTCTCTCTCTACCGTGTGTGTTTCTTAATCTTGCCCTGACCCAATCTGCGCTCGTCCTCTGGGGAGCAGGTAGCGTAGATATACTCGAGTATAGATATAAGTAGACGCCTTGTGCGGGTAGAGGATGTAGGTTTGGGGAGGCTGAGAAGAAAAATCTTCCGAAGCCCCGAACAGTAATGGGATCCAGGGTCGTATTTCAAAAGATCGCATGAACCTCCCCCCCCCCCCACACAGCATACACACATCCATCATCCCTGACCCCCACTGCACTCCTTCCTTCCTTCCTTTACGCCCCCTTCCCCCTTCTCGCGGGTGGGAGGGTGGATTGAAAAAAGGGACGATACGGGGCGTGCGAATGTAGATGCGGAGGGATGGGTCAAGGAGAGAGGAAGGGGAAAGAAAACAAGGCATCACTATTGGATACTGCACTTCGGTACCCCCGCAGACCTGTCGTCCTTCCCCCTTTAGGCTTGGTAGGATCTTGCTATACTTGTATCGTATCACTATACCTGGCTACTGTATCTCTCCCCGTGCGGCACCTAATTGATAGTGTAATTTCTTGGAGGCAAAAATTCGGAACCATATGGTACAGAAAATATAGGAAAGCTAGACTGAATAAGTTCGAGTTTCCTGGTAGGTTATAGCGATTACCAGAAATGATAAACGATTGGTTCCTTCATTGTCATTAGTCTGAAAAGGTCCCGCGATTTTGCACGTGTGACCCGCGCAGGGTGCCATAGTGGGAAGACTAGGCACCACCGGATTCCTGAGTTAGGATCCTGTCCTGTTGCAGGTGTTGCTCCCAATGCTAATCGCTAGCCTGGTTTGCATGAGGCCACTGTTGTTGGCTGCTGGAAGCTCCAGTGACTTGTTGTGTTATGTCCAGTTCTCTCTGATGCGCTGTTTTGCAGCGATCAGCGATGGAGTTGTTGCGATTGCTTGGCTAGTTGGGTAGCCTCCCGGTAGTTACAAGTAGCTGCTCGACCAGTTGACTTCGGCTTGCCCTGTGCGCATCCTACCGTGCTGTGTTGACCGAGTGAACCATGCCCGAGGAACGTCTCAGTAGGGGTCACGCAACCACTGTTCGGAGAAGGCTCCTGGAGGAGGAGCCGATGTTCGCGATGCGATAAGAATTCCTTTTTTTTCCAAGGGGGTTTCATCGCCGGTAAATGAGGAGTTATACATAGAATCAACTCTAGGTATACCGTAGCATACTGCAGTGTGTTCATAGCAGCCAACCCGACCACCGTGTTCTCCTATGATACGGTAGTCTACCCCAAAACCCACATCGGGTACCGATATGCACAACCTCCAGCCTCGTGTTGCTACTCGTAGAACTGCGAAGAAAGTGCAATACCCCGGAATGAGAACTATCGCAAAAGTGCTGTGTTGTACGAGTACACACCTCACCCTCGGTACCGGAAGGTTGATTGACTATCAATCATGATGATGATGCAAGAAGGCAGTAATAGTAATAATGTTGCAGTCTCCTTTCATATTCCTTTCCACCCTGCCCTCGTGCTCCTTTGCACCATTGGCTACATACTCCCTTCCCTATCCAGCCATTCCTCACTTTCCGCCTTAACCATCACCCAATATCCGCTGTTGCGCAACTGGAAAAAGTCTTAGCCAATAGACCTAATCCAGCACCCAGATGAACCTCCGCTTGCGACAAAAAGGGCAAAAGAGAGGTCTCGAAAATTTCTTTTATCCGTCCCGCTTTTCGTCCGTTCGTCTATTTTCTTGGGCAGTGGTTCGATGCGGTACTTGCCCTCGAGTAGGCGAGCCGCCACTACCTTCACCCCTTCTTGTCCTGTGTTTTTTCCTCCCTTGTTCTTGCCCCAGGTCTGATATGGGACTGTTCCGGGAAAGAAAACCCATCCACCCATCCACCCACCGAGTTACTGTAGATGTGATTAATGAGGGGCGCTATCAAATTACGTATCTCCAGTTACATCTTTATTTATGAGAACCTACCGTATTGTCGGTACTGAAAAGCAGGGGATTGACAGCTTAGGAACAGCGTAACTTATCCTGCCCGCATTGTACTCGTACTCGAGTACCGTACTCCTACAGTGCTAGAACTCGCACTTGTGCTCCGTGCCGTATCCTAGCTTCGTCCCAGCGATTTCTGCTCGCTGAAGTTATCCCATCCCTGGTTCTGAACCCCCCCCCCCATTTCCGAACATCCACCACTTGTGGGGACAGCTTCAGGCGAGAACCGAGCTTCTCCATGTCATATTCCATGTCTACAATACCGAACCATGTTTTTTTCTGGCTAAAGGGGGGGTGGTATCAGAAACATCTCCAAGGCTTCTTCATGCTTCGCTCTAGAAGATACGGTACTCCTCCAGTATTGGACCATGGGGAAACTACAGGTAGGGAGCTGGGAAGCGCCCCAATCACCCTCTTCCCACTGGCCGGGTCCTATTGCACACTTTTTTTTATTTGCAGTTACAGCACTATTATTATTATATCGTATATCGAGATTCCCAATGGGGCTATCGTTCTTGGGTCGCAAAAAAAATCCAGTCTTTTCTTCATCCTTTTCTTTTTTTTTTTTTAGCGGTTCTTGGTTTGAAAACTCCAACCAGTGTGTTCTGGGTTTTTGCTGCTCCCCAACCCCTGAAGAATATGATTTCGCATGGCGGTAGGAAGTTGACAGCAAATATCTAGGGATGTCAACGTTGGGTGTACCGGTAGCCAAACCCCCAAACTCACTCCGCGGTTTTCAAGCTACCGGTAGTACGGTACTCGAGCACAAGTACCCGGGGAGATGTTTTCGTGCAATACGAGTACAGCACTGTACTAGACAAGGATTACAGGTATTCTGCTACAAGTACAGTACAATTAGTTGACTATCCCTGTCTTGTACTCGTACGAAAACATCTCCACAGGTACCGGTACGATACTTGTACTAGGCACAAGCCAGGGATTATTTTGCGGGTTAACCTAACCTACTTGCTCAAGTATTCGTTTCCTTTCCAAGGGGTACTTGTTAGCTCCAAATCGGATTTGCAGTTGTGACAACCGTGCTGAGAATCACAATAATGGTGCCGAAGAGAGAGGCAGCTGAGCAAAGAAACCATTGCCATCCAACAGATCCACTTCTCTTAAGCCGCGATACGCAGCCAACCTTCATAATGTCATGCATCCTGTATGATACTTGTACATTGCTAGTGCCGGCAGCTTAGAATCAACTTTCACAACAAACCAAATTTTCCCGGTTTTTCGACCAACAGCATCATATGTTATAGTTTTTCTTATTCCTTCCGTATAATGATCCCGAACCATGTAAAGGAGCACACTTACAGAGCAGGCGAGGTGGTTTTCTCCGAAATACTGTAGCTCTTAAAATCGAGGCAAAATTTGGGTGGACCCGGGGGTTGCCTCTTGTACGGAAAAGCAAGGTTTTGGCTGAGTGATATGCCAAAATATTGCCTAAATTAGGAAGATCGTCTGGTACGAGTACAGTACGGTCCCGTACATTACACAGGACCCGTGCACTGACCCTTGGATGGCACTGGATCGATTCTACTCGTAAGGTGCCAGCATCATACTAGCATCAGGAAAACAAAAGAGTACGAGTACAGTACTCGTACAATACATGTCGTAAACTTACCGTCTAGCCAAGAGTTGGGGGTACATTCTCCCTGCAGCACCTCTCGAATATCTGTGGCGCAGCAATGGAAAGCAGGGGTACAGTACTCGAGTACTGGGGTTAGCACGATACGGTACTAGTACTAGTACTTGTTGCCTCCCTAGCCGAGTCTGTTCAATCAATCCGATTGCCCAAATCGGATTTGTCCGCCTGGTTTATGCTTTTCTGCGCCCTCTTCCGTTCCATTCTTCTCCGCCACCCATACGTGCCTTGTGGTCCAAGCGTGACAACTGGGCAATGGGGTAAGAAGGAAAAGAAAAAGAACCCCCCCATGTAAACCTGATAAACGACAGCGGGGGTGGATGTGGACGAGAAGAAAAATGGGGAATTCAGGCTTGTCGCTCCACTTGTACTTGTACCATATTATGCAATACGAAACCAAGTGAGTGGGTAAGGTAAGATGAGGAGGGAAACCAAAAAAAGAATATTCGTATCGCCCCATCACTTTTAGTTTAATTCAACTTGCTTAGGGAGAGCCCTTACCTATAGTGAACTTCCCTCCTCCTCCACTGCGCAAGTACAATACTGTGTGAACAGGACGAGAAAGAAAGAAAGAGTTTTGGAAACGGCTCTGGGAGTGGTCTTGATTGCTTGCTGTTTAAAGGCCCCCCACTCTATTTGAATTTATTACCCCTTGCTTTCAACTCTACTTTACTTGCACTTCTGCCCATTTCCTTCTCCGTTTTTCCTCTCCTTTTTTTTGCTTTGAATCGCAGGCCTCAGGGGGAGGAAGGTTTATTTTTCCTATGGCGACTTCAGCGGCGACAATGGCGTCGGATATGAAGGAGTTGGCGCTCAAGACGAAAGATAGGGAATTGGGCGTTGAAGATAAAGATGCTCTCAAGTTGGAGGCAGCCTTAGGTCATAAGCAAGCGTTGGATAGGGGCTTTGGCCTATTCAGTCTGACCAGTTTGGGGATCATCATCGCGAAGTGAGTGCTTTTCCTGACCCTAAACCGCGGCATTTTTCGTGGTATCATGTGAAGAGATTGAAGAGGAATTGGTGACTGACGAAGGTATTGGAGGACCGCGTAAACAGCGCCTGGAGTCTTACTGGAGGCACTATCGTGGTAGCGATCAGCAATGGAGGTCCTATGGCAGTTCTTTACGGATTGTGAGTTTTTTTTTTTTACCCTCGTTTCCCGTCTCCGCCTAGGCTATCCTGTTGGAGTTGTAGCATAGCAGCTGATCATGGACCAGGATCCTTGTGACAATCTTCTACATTTTGATCTCCGCATCTCTCGCGGAATTGGTCTCTTCAATCCCTTCCTCAGGAGGAGTGTATCATTGGGCATCCGTCACCGCGGGCCCCAGATACGGCCGGGTCGTCGGGTGGTATGCCGGGTTCCTCAATCTCTGCGGATGGCTACTATCCGCGGCCTCTATCTCCAGCACTCTGGGAACCGAACTGGTAGCTCTCTACCAACTCAGCTATCCAGAGGTTGAGTGGAAATCATGGCAGGTCTTCATCGCATTCCAGATCGTCAACTGGATGTGCTGCTGCATTGTCATCTTCGGAAACCGCTACCTGCCGCTGATCAACAAGATCGCATTTTACCTTAGCATGGGGGGACTCTTCGTCACTATCATGGTCCTGACTATCATGTCGCGAGGCAGGCGTGCTAGCGATACTTTCGTTTGGAAAGATTACACTGACCTTTCCGGATGGAATAACGACGGTCTCTGCTTCATACTCGGTCTCATCAACGCCGCCTTCGCAGTTGGCACTCCTGACTGCCAGTCCCATGTCGCCGAGGAAATTCCAGAGCCGGAGAAGAACGTGCCAAAAGGAATAATGATCCAGATCGGAACCAGCTTCGTCACAGCTTTCGCTTACCTTATCGCACTCTTTTACTCCATCAATGATATCGTGCTCGTCCTCGATTCCCCATCGCAATTCCCAACGGCGGAGATCTACAGACAGGCCACTGGCAGCACCTCCGGGGCTCTCGGGCTAACCGCGGTGCTGTTTTTGGCCACATTCCCGACACTGATCGGCACGCTGATCACCGGCGGGCGAACCTTCTGGACACTCTCTCGCGACAATGCCGCGCCATTTGGCAGCTTCTTCACGAAGATTTCCCCGACTTTTGGGTCGCCGCTCAGGGCTACCATTGCTGTCTCGGCTGTCACTACCTGTCTCGGGGTTATCCAAGTCGGTTCCACCACCGCCTTTCAGGCGCTTATCGGGTCCTATATCGTTCTATCGACGCTCTCCTACGCCGGTGCCATCCTCCCGCACGTACTCACCGGCCGCAAAACTATTGTTCCGGGTCCCTTCCATCTTGGAAAGGCCGGATTCGCTATAAACATCATCTCGCTGCTATATATCGCTGTAACAGTCGTGTTCTTCTGCTTCCCATTCGCCATGCCCGTTGAGGCCGGGAATATGAATTATACCAGCGTGATTGTATCGGGATTCGTCGTCCTCATCACCTTCTGGTGGTTCGTTCACGGAACCGGGAAATACGAGGGGCCCAAGTACTACAAGGAGGCAGCCAAGCAGTTTGCCGATTCAGGGAGTGTTGACATCGCCGAGCTTCAATAAACTTTTCAGTGACTTGAGCATTGTCGAACTGTGTTCCTTGCCTTTTTTTTCTTTCTTTTTTTCCCATATATACTCTTTTGATGTGCAATGATTGAAACTTATTTATATTTTCTCTCTTCGGCAGCCACGAGGGAAAATGTTTTTAATAGCGAATATATTTATTTATTTATTTATTCATTTTTTATGTAGCACCGGAGTGAATCTTGATTCCGAGGAAATTCAATTCAATTCATTCATTGCCAAAGATATTCACAAAAAGGTCTGCAGTACCGTAGGGTACAATTTACACTTTCACAAAATTTTCAACAGAGTGTGAAAGAGCCAACCCCCCACGCTATTCCTCGAGTTCACTAACCAATATTTGCTAAAAAAATAAAAAAATAAATAAAAACCATCACCGTCCACTAAGTTAATCACTCCTGTCCCCGCTGCTGCCCGTGCTCTCCTCATCCTCCTCCTCCTTACCCGGCCCCCCCCTCACGTTCCTCGCAGCCCAAGCCTCAACGGCGCAAACGACATCTCGGACTCCAGCACTCGCGCCAAATATCCCCCCTTCAGTCCCAACCATCTCAACCGCGGCATCGTGCAAGCTCTGCAAGCTCGCCCCGCACGCATCCCTAACGAGCAGGCAATCAAATCCCCTATCATTCCCCTCCCGCATGGTGCAGCTAACACAAACGTCGGTCGTCACCCCTGTGATAACCAAATTTTTGACCCCCTTGACCCTCAGCAGCAGCTCAAAGTCAGTGTAAGCGAACGCGCTGCGGCCCGGCTTGTCCACAACGGGTTCGTTGGGAAGTGGGGCTAGTTCTGGGATTATGTCGTGGCCGGGCTCCCCACGGATGAGCAGGCGGCCGAGGGGCCCCTGATCGCCGATTCCGAGACCTGAAGGGTTATTTCGGGAGCGGTGGAGTTCCCGGGAGGAGAGGGTTGAGAGGTCGGGCCTATGGCCCTCTCGGGTAAAGATTATCGGGAAGGAGTGCTTGCGGAAGAGTGTCAGGAGGGTGTGGATTGCTGGGATGGGCGCCCGGGTTGGAGTCAGGGAGTAGCCCTGATGACTGAGATAGCCGTTTGGAGAACAGACTTTTTTCCTTTTTTCTTTAGTCGCGTGGGCCTTGATACTTGTACCATTATGGGAGGGGAATTGAGGTTGAACGCACAGTCGTTTTGCATGTCGATTATTACCAGTGCCGTTGTTTCTGGTGACATGCTTGCATCGTGCGGCCATGCGTACGGTGTTGCAGTGGGAACCTGTTCACCGCTACGGCGGTACATATCCATGGCGGAATCGTATGTCGATATGAGGATGATCCCGTAGGTTCAATGCTGTATATAATATACAAGCGCAGCGAATAGGTATGGCGTGAGTTCTAGTGTGCGGAGAGGGTTTGGAGTGCGAAAGTGTGCGCTCTAACCAAACTTCTTTGCCTTATCATACAGGTTAGAGGCAGGAGTACGGTACCGTATTGCGGTTGCCTTTCCACCCAACGCCCAGAAAATGTTTTTTTTTCTTCTTCCTCTTGCGCCCTCCTCCGCCAGTTAACCCAACATGTGGTCCGTACCAATATCTCTCATAACTGATCATGAGGGCCATCTTTCTGTCGCGCTGCCTAAGCTTGCACGTTAGGAACGGCTACTCGGGATGCTTGTACTGTACGAGTACTAGCGCAAGTACCGTGGAGAAGTTTGGAAAGTTTGGCGAGGGCGCCCGTATGATACAATACGGTACTGGTAACATGCAGATGCTCAATCTCCATCCCAGCGAAAAATTGCCGGCACGAGCGGCAGTCCGGTCTTGCGTGGGATGGGCGGGCCCAGGGGAAAAAAAACTTTTGAATCGATCCCGGGGGATTCAAAACCTTCTCCTGGGGAGCAAGGGTTCACTGTGGCTGGCTGGCTTTTGTGGTTGGTGGAGCAGTAGTGACAGGTACGGTAGGGAGTGTGATGCTTCCACGATTTTTTTACAGTAGTCGCATCGTCATATTTACGGCTAGAGATCGAGTGATTTCAGATACTAGCACAGCTTGAGGGCCTTCCTCCCAATAATACATACAATATTGGTGATGAGCATTTCTTGAGAGATCGTTCCCATAGCAGCTGGGCGGGACTGTACCTGGGTACCAGTACAAGCGGAAGGAGAGTATTTTCCCGGGCAGACCGGGTTCATCCGAGCGCGGGTAAACCAATAGGCCCAAGGGTAGCTTACAGTTACCACTCCCACCGACGCACACGGCATCCGACGATGCAGGGACACGATATAATATGGTAACAGTATTGCGCCAGTAATCCAGAGTTTCCATCGCGATTACATAAAAATTCGGTTCACCCACGGTGCCGTATTCGCTGTGGTTTGTGCGCTGCAGGTTACGATACTTGAAACCCGTTTTTGTATAACGATCGACATAATACTCTTCCTCACACGGACAGACCCTGAGGACAAATTGCACACTTCACCTTACCCAATAATCCGAGTGGTACGGTTCGGTAGCTTCCTACGAGTAAATCGTTGGTGAACTGGGATGCCTATCGCCGTGGGGGCGTTGCAAGGAGAGAGGGCAGGGGGTCAAAGCAGGACCCACACTTTATCTATCATATCGCAGCTGCCAAAGGAGTGAAGAAGAAGATTCCGGTTGCCTACCAAGATAGGGAAACCCCGGGCATTGATACTCGAGCAACCAGGAGTTTGGCATTGGGGCGCTATTCTCCGTGTTTTGGGAATATGGGTAAGTTATCATTTCAGTCGTTTTTGGGCGGTTGACGACCACCCCGAATAGCCGTGATTTCCTGCTGTCCCCATTCCCTTGCTCGGGTGGCCCGCAGGCGCCCAGCCAAGCCATATCATTGGACAGAGCATGGTGATGTTCTGCAGAATTTTCTCTATCAAACCGAAGCTCTCGCTCGAGCGCACGGTGCCTCTCCCTCGAGACCTCGCGATTAGACCCCGAAAAGTCGACACCAGCAACATCAGGAGCTCCCAAGGACCGGGAACCCATTTTTTTAGGGCTTTTTTTCCCTTTTCTTCGGCTAAGAAAAGCGATTGGTGCTCTCCAAATCAGGTATAGCGGCGGCGACGACGGACGGAGAAAACCCGTCCAGGCCGCCGGGAGGCATGGTGGATTTCTGTTACAAAGCCGAAGCCATCGAACGGCCCCCCATCGCCTCAGTTTTGTGGACCACCACAACCCGCTCCAGCAGGATTTGAGGCGAGGGGGCGGTTCGGTTCGATAGATGTCCCCCACCCGCGCTCCAAGTCACTTTCATGTACTCGAGTACCGGCATCATAACAACCTGCTGGAACGAAAGGATGTTAGAATAAGAAAACGTCCCCAGTCTTTTCTTCAATGTCAGTTGTGGGGCCTGGGTAAGGGGTCGGAGTCGGTTCCCGCCGAATTGTGCGTGGCTGGGGTATAGCGGCGAGACTGTTATGATCTGAGTGCGGGGCCTCCAAGAATTCTTGCGAACATGATACGGTACGAGTAGTATTTGTTGGCCTCGCTACCGAAGGCGATATGGTACCGGTAGATGCCCCCATCCTAGCGGAAGGAGCACCCTGTATCTTTCGAGGGGGCGGGTAAGTTATGCAAAGCCATTACCCCTTCAAGAAAACAAGGCAGCGAGTAAGTGATATCTGAGAACCCAATCGAAGCGAACTGAAGTGCCGTGGATCCGGCAACTTGAGTGGCGGTTTAGGAATCGTGGAGCTGTGTTACCAGCTGTTTTACCGGTACTGATCGGGTTTTATGAAAAAGTTTTTTCCCAGTGTTAGCCATGGAAATGCAGCTAAGCACTCGCTGAATCGATTACCTAAACAATGAAACCATCATCTTACGAAAGGAAATAAAGACACTCGCTACATCAATCCATGATTTTGGTTTCTGGGGGGGCGTGGGCTGGGAGATGGTGTTCTTTGGGTTTAAAAGCGCGTGGATATTGTGTAGGAGAGCCTCATGTAATAAAGTTACTTGGTAAACCGGTGGAGGGCTCAGCGAGGCGGCACCCTCAGCGAGGCTTGGCGATATTTGGCAGCAAAGATTGCCTGCGGTCAACGACAGTAGGGAGCTAAGCCGTGCCGCGCCTCGCTGAGGGTGTCGCCTCGCTGGGCCCTCGCACGGTCTAACCCTAATGGCTGGCTGCAACATGAGCGCAGGGATACCGATACGGTAGGTCATAGTGCACATTTTGGGATATGCGGCGTCACACTAATCCCGGTTTGGCCAAGCAGTCCCTGCCATTTTCGGTACGGTTTGTGCATTTTTGCCATCGGGCGTGAATTTTGAGAGTTTCTGAACCGCTATCATACGAGTGGAGAAAATTTCTGAAATGCTCAGAGGTTGCCCACGAACTTGCGAGAAAGATTTTTTTAAGAACTGGCTTAATAATCGAGCTGGGGAATGACCCCATCTGTCATGATACCAGTACGAGTAGGGACACAGGTTTATCGTTACCGGAACCATATCATCTTCGCTCCCCAGCTGCCGTAGTCGGAAGGGCCAGATCTACAGTACTCGAGTACGAGTGCCGGCACTTGGCACTAGGCTGATATGGCCATAAATCCCCTCCACTGTTTTTAGGCCTAGGCTAATTTACGATACTTGAAGATATCAGGTTTGAACACGGATATTTTCCCAAGGCTACAGGTGCCGATATCGCCTCGCCAACCTCGTTTTGTATGGTTATCGCAGCACACTTTAATCCCAATTCGCCACATGGATGTTATTGCATGATAGGGTGCGGTGTTATATTACCTGCAATATACTTTGTCTCGCATCAAAGCAGCCAGCTCTTGGCTTCTGCAGCTTCGCTTCTGGTCCCCCTAGCCGCGCGCTCCAACACTGACGGAATTGCCCGATGAGGAGAAAGACAATGTCGACGACCTGGAGCGGGGACTCAAACGTCATACTCCCCTGAGGTCGTCGAGGGAAGGCACTCTTCACTTTGACCCTGAGGGGTTCTATAGGAGTATCCCCGCCGAAATAATTTGTTCTGACAAGCACCATAGCCCGTAAACAGCTGAAAGGGGTTGAGTCAGGTGGGTATCGAGATAGGCCATGGGGTAGTTTATGCATGTAATGCGTGCTCCGATCATATTGAACTTCTTGTTTTGCACTTTGCACATGCAACTGACGCAAATGGAGTCCAAACAATTCCTGCGGGAGTCTAGCTAACCAATGCTCTCACAAGCCAATGGATAGGCTTCCTCATGCTGCTCAACGATGCGGAGACAGCAGTGAGCGAACCGCTTCGCCTAGTTCCCGGGGCCGTTATGGTTACCGAACCTCCCGAGCTCTATCTCCTCAAGTTCAACACGATTCTCCCGCGCGGTGCACGGCTTTGTATTGGCTGCCGATGATATCGAAGCGCAGGAGCTTAAACCGAATCAACAGGCACCGGAAGGGGTATTCATGGATCGTGGAATCCCTTTCTGTAAGCCCCTGCTGGTCCGGCCGTGGTGTCCCAGCTGAGAAATCTTCACTGCTTATCCTCACTAGGTGTCACTCGAGAATGGTTCTACTGCTAGGTTCTACCTGAATCGGGGCAAGGGTGCGTGGGATGGCGCTTATCTCTGGAGAAGGTAGAAGTCAGAGGTGGATTCTGGTTCTCTGAGGAACTTGAAGCATTTCGCATTGCACTGTTTCCCCCGTGTGGCAGCTCCGAAGTCCAAGGTCTGGTCAAACCTTGATACATGTTGGGTACGGATAGATGTCTCCATATCCTTCCCTCGGGAGGCGCCTTGTTTGATGAGCGTCATGGGTGAGTTGGCTCGTGATGATCCAGTTTGGTATGGATGAGTGTGCGAGTATGCAAGCGACTTCTCCCAAAGCACTAATTCTGGACTGCACGCGACTTGTGCTGACTAAGGCTGATTCGGATCTGCTGGGCTGAACGGGTTTTATCATTATCAGTGCGGGGGAGTGCTGTGCGTGCGGTGCGGTACAAATAAGGGGCCCTGTCTAGTAAGCCTTTACATCGGAGTTCATATACCGAAACCCATATTCCATTACCCCATACCTGAAACATCCCTTCTGGCTTCGAGCAGAGAGTTACCTACGTAATGGGTTTTCAAAAACCCGGATGTTTTTCAAGGAGAATATTTTTCTTAGTTATTAAAACACTGGCAGCACAATCATGAAACCCTCCTAAAATCCATCATGCCTTTACGGTACCCTCAGACATATCGAGTGGCAGCGATATTCGGAGGTCTTGGTACGTTAGTGTTGATGTTTTGGTGTTTTCTTTCTTTCTGTCTTTTAAAACAGTGTGCGTGTTGTGGGCTAGACGAA